GTAGGAGTTACTGGAAAAAAACTATATGAGTGGTTGTTAACAGTTACTCCTGTAATATATGTACATATAATTAAAAAAACAGACAAAAGGTGTAGTAATAGTATGCTTTATTCGATAGTAGTAAAAAAAACAATGAATTAAATCTGACAGTATGTCCAATGATCAGTTACGGCCACATTCACTTTCGACCACATACTCTGGCAAGTGAGTTCTTTTATAAAACGAGTGAGATGACGTACATGTTCGGGGAAGGTGCAGTTCAGTGCAGCCAAGTCTTTTAATTCCGAAAAATATTAGGATTCTGCACTGTGCCGCCGCACGGAAAGCCAATCATTAACGGTAAGCATTTTAACATTTCCCCCTGAGAAATTAAAATGGGAAATTATCTCACCTTTATCTCTCTCTCGTCCAGGTCCGCACGCCGTCAAGACGAAAAGTTTGTATTTGTATTTGTTATTATTATTTCAATGAATACATTATATAAATTTGACTGTCTACCGTGCTCTTTCTCATAACAAAAACCTTCGTTATCATTGCCCACGTACCGGAGCTAAAGAAAGAGCAGCTGGAATTGCTGTAGGCCATAACAATAAAGCAATAATACTAGAGCTGTTTTCTGTTTTTAAAATAAATGACACCAAAATTTTTGAGGAATATCTAAATAAAGAAAAATTTATCAATTAAATTTACCAATCTTAAATTACTTCTTGCTCTCCATCATATTATACTGTTGTATTAAAAAAATAATTATTTGATTGTCAAACCTTGGTTTGTTCATCTAATGTCAAAATTTTATTCCAACTGACACATATTCTATGTGGCTGTTCTGGAGGTACACTTAATCAAAGATGATAAATTTTTGTTCATATAAATGCTTATAAACAATTTTATAGACACTGTAACATATAAACGAAGTATTCTGCTTAATTTATCTGAGGTACAAGAGCCGTTAAAAAGTAAACCATATTTTAAAGTTTTTTCTTATTAGTTATAGTTTCGAATAGTCAAAATAGCTTTAGTCGAAGAAACATTGGAATGGTACCCCTCAGTAAATAGGTTTTGGATGGCACATAGGTCTTCAAATGGAGAGAATAAATCTAGTTTTGGAATTTTATCAGGCTTCATAGTTCGAAATGTTATATCTTTACAGTATAAGTATGGTTCTGGGCTATTTGCAATAATCTGGTATGCTGATTTGAAGCATAAATATTTTGGTTACTTGAAGTTTACTCTTCCTCTTTTATAACCATAATAATAACAAATTAACTCAACGCTTGATACTTTGCCAACTACTCCGTCCTTTTCAGATCCCATAATTGTTCGCTGAGTTATTGCGGAAATGAAGCGAAACCAATCATATCTTCTACAGGCTTATCCATCAGCTGACCAAAATCATTGATCTGTTTGATCGATCGAAGAAAGCGCGTTTTTACGGTTCTTCGTCATTAAACGATATCTTGTGATAATTAACATGAATTATTTATTCAGGCGAGTATAATTTTTTTTCTCTCTCCATAATGTTTCGATAGCTCTGTTAAGCACGAAAAGCGCCAGCGGGCAGACTGGGAATACTAGATCTGTCGGAAGCCAATACTGGCAAGTCATCAATAGATGGCCGGCTTTGAGTGAAGACTTCAGTCGCGCAGAGTTATTATGAGATTGTTGGGCACAAAGACGCCAGCGGGCAGACTGGAATCTCTAGATCTGTCGGAAGCCAATAATGGCAAGTCATCAGTGGATGGCCGGTCTTGAGTGAATGACATCTCCTTTTGATGACTAATTGATAAGTTTTGTTCAACAAGTTACTTACCCATATCTTTTACGATTTTGAAGATGCGCAAGAAAAAGAAGATGGATGATCAATTGTGATAATCCTACACCCCTTTTGTTCCATATGCTGACAAGGTTACATCTTCGAAATAATAGGACAAGATAAAAAAGAGACACATGCTTCGTTTCATGCACTATTAGACGATGGTATCGATGGTGGAAAATCGGTTTATGATCAGAAGAGAGTACCGTAAACTGCCATGAATAAGAGCCTCCCCTGTAAAAATTTTTCTCCCCTGCCTTTAGCCAATTCGTATAAAATGTTCTGAAGATTAAAAATCTCTACACGTATGCCACATTCTACAAATTTTAGAAATGTAGTATGACACCAATAATCTTCCCAGAATTTCTTGAGAGCAGGGGAGAAAAAATTTTACAGGGGAGGCCCTTATTCATGGCAGTTTACGGTAAGTTAGTTGTTTTCACGATTTTTTATGAATAATAATACTAAGATCAACGTTAATTATTATACTAGTCATGCGTGACGAATTACAATTTTAAGTCACAGCGTGGACGCTATAATTAACTTGGATGTATAATAAGCTCGAACCTATAATCAAAATAATCATGTCTTGATATGCTCGATATGCTCGATATGCTTGATTGTTGACATATTGTATAGATCTTTTATCCACCGAATATTAAGACTTTGAAATTAAATTACTTTCTTTCCCTCATCATCATTGCTATATTAATTAACCGGATATACCTATAAGAACGGCTCACATAAAAGCTGTAAGGTTTCGGCATAAACAGCTGTAGCGACCGATATGTAAACGATGCTCATTCAATCCGTAGAATATCCATTGATCAATTACGCAAATTAATATTACAAACGATTATTGTTTAGAATAGGCAAGTGACGTTTATCCCGACTAGTCGACATACCAAATCGAAGATCGCCCAGATTCCCCTTTGACTCTGGCGGTATAATAATTGGTTTTATTTATTATACCACGTGTCGTAGACACTTTTATTTGGATATGAGTACGTGGAGGCATCGTATAGGGAGCGCGCATTAAATAATTAAATTAGGTCATGTTGGAAAAACTGTTGGATAATTGTAGGCTTGACGAATTAGACGGATACACCGCAAGAAGTTTCTGAAAAACTGAGTAGGCTCGATGGTGTGAACCAACGGGCTGCCCAAAACAAAAAATATGGCCGATTGGATTTTACGCTCATCAAGTCGAAAGAAATTATTTAATCGAGGCATATTTAAGTATGAATAAACTTGCCGAAGCGAGATTTAAAACCACCATTAGCTAGAGAATGCTGTCCATTCTCCCGGCCTTTAATATAATGATAGAAGCATATGAAAACAGAGATGATTTAAAGGAAGCCAGAAAACTATATCAGTATACACTACCTGGACAAAAGTATCGCACTCCTAAAATTTATTAATTGCGCAAAACAGTACATAATAATTATGTCTCAAATTTTAGCATTTTATACTTCAACCAATGAATTAGCTATACAAGTCAATATTTAGTAGGCCAGCCATTGCTTGTAATAACTGCTTTTCTATTCTCCGTGGCATACTTTCTATCAAGCTGATTATTTGATTTATCGAAATTTTGCTCCATTCTTCCTGTAAGGCAGTTTCTAATTCTGTAATGTTTTTTATTACTTGTGGTCGGTTTCTTATTCTTCTTCCCAGCTCTGACTATAACTGCTCGATTGGATTTAAGTCAGGAGACTGACTTGGCCAATCTGGTAAAACATTGATTTTGTTTGTGAGCATCCACTGCTTGACATTTTAGCAGTATGGACTGGGGCATTATCATCCTGAAACAGATATCCCTTACCATCAAATTCCTTATCTATCAAAGGCAGTAAATGCTTTTCCAGTATCTGTATATAATCCAATCTACTCATTTTGCCCTCCACATTTACCAATGGACCCAATCTTTTACCCAAAAACATCCTCACACCATTAGTCTTCCATCACCGAATTTTACAGTTGGAACCATGTTTGCAATATTAAATCTAGTGCCTGGAGTCATGGTCTGGTCCATCATTGTCAAATATTGTAAAATTTGTGAGTAATTTTTTCCTTATCCAGATACTACTCGAGAATTTGGGTATCATTAATTTTAAAAATGTAAGGGCAATTTTTTTCTCTCCTTATTCTTTAGGATGCTTCTAATAATGCTATAATTCTTGGGTTCCATGATTGATTTGGTGTAAATTAATCCATATTGATATTTTTTATATAAAGATAATCCTATATATTAATATATTAATCCTGTTATGGTTTATATTCATCACATTCTGGTATGTACAGTACTGCAGTATATGATAAAGTAAACATTATAATTAAAATTAACAAATCCATAATAATAAGTTATGAATGAACACCATTGTTACTTTTCAAAACGTCATAAGTCACACTGGTCAATTTTATAGCTACATCATAATCAGCCTTTCATTTTAATTTTAATTTACAGAATGTTCGCTTGTCTGGTTTCGTTGCAGCTTGCCTCGTGTTTTGGTTATCAAACTCCATGAAAACGAGATTTAACAAATTTATCCATCACATCATGATAGTCCAAAGGTGAAGAGCAACTTTCTTAAGCAAGTAGTAGTAGTAATAGTAAAGCATAACTGATGATTTTTAGATAGGCATTGTAACGACGAGGTTAAAAAGTCACAGAAAGTTGATAAATCTTTCTTCCGCCACATCTCCAAAACCATGTCATTTTCGATGACATTTTACTTTTCCAAGGAAACTCGTGAATGACGATGACCACATATCGAGCAAGTTCATTACTGTCAAACTGTGGTGCCTCATACCCCTCAATATCCTATGTTGGCTTGGCTAAATCACAGTCAATCATATAATCAACTTATTATCGTATCAAATTTGATGTAATGCCAAGGAGCTGCTTCGCCAAAGATGCGACGCTTGTGACGACGTATTCCTCCCTACATATACATTCCGATGGTGCCACAGGGAATATTAATAATAGGTTTATTGTAAGGTAGCACAATATATACTGATGTGTGGCATATATATCCACTACTAGAAGTTTTAACTACAAAGATTCTAAACAATTACATATAATCATTTGTATTTTCATCCATCTATTGTTGCATTAATTACCTTTTTTTTTTTCAAAAACACTCGCATAATCGCCAACACATATCTCATCATCTTACTATTTTCTCTACGTGAATAACTTTCCAAATCCGAACGAGAACAGCTTCCCAATCACACCAGAATTACTTGACGCTGCTCTTGCAGCAAGTCCGCTGGCCCATTTACGTTTTGCATCTTTATCGCACTGAGTATATCCAATCACATTTGCTATATTCAGCGTCAACGCCACGACGACGATCAAAAGCCATTGCGGTTTGATGAGAGCAAAGAAGCCAAAGAAAAACCATATTACAAGGGTTACGTAAAGCGATATCCAAAATACTCTCGAGTCGGTTTGATTGATTGGCCGTGAAGGCTAAAATGTTGGCATTCAAAAAGCGAAGCATGAGAGGTATAAGGGGGAGAGTGATGCAAGAGGGAAAAGTGAGCATGTAAACACGTATGTGTGCAAGAAAATAGCGATCGATTAAACATTCAAAATAGAAATAGCCTTCACTTACATCCCTGCTCTCAAACATCCACACATTTGTTCCATCTTCCTGAATATCATTCCACCATCTCAAGCCGACTAATAATCGACCCGTGACATTCTTTACCGTCCAAAAATCAAACGACAATAACAATACGCAAATAATAAATATTAGAGGAAAATTTGAGGTGAACAAGGCACCAAAGAGATAGACAAGTAGTGCCGTGGTGCGAAATAAGAGGTGGAAGCCCAAGGCTATTGGGTGACTATGTCACATTAAAGAAATTTTTTGATTTTGTTGGTGAGAGATCAGATCAAAGAGTTTACGAAACTCGAACCGAATAGTGAAGCAAGATTTATAAACACGTCCAACCTTGACTGCTCCCAAATGCTCGGATTTCTAGTATTCCCGCCCTGATTCTGTGTGGTTGAAGGAGTCTCGGTCCCCGTTTCTACGTCTTGCTCCACTCCCGAAAAGGGAGCGGCGGCCGAGAGAAGATTCTGACTAGATTCCTAAGAAATAAATCAAGCATCGTCAACAGTGTTTAGAAGAGCAAGCCGAGAGAATCTATAGAAAGTCACCGGGAAAACGACAGTAGAGGGATTAAGCATACCATCTATAAGTATTTTGAGTTGAAAACTGAGTATGAGATGGTGAGAATCGTGACATATAAAAGTTTATGTGTAACGTTGGATGACGGTCAAAGCATGTTGTTTGTCGATTGAGAGAATTACATTAGTCACGCTGCTGGAGACAGTCAAAAGACCCGGTTCTATCCAAGCAGTAAGGCGAAACGTGTTAATTAAGACAAGAAGTCTAATTTGGGAGACAACATATTAGTATTATTCATTTTTCGATATAAAAGTATTTCATTTGCAGGTATCTGGATGAACTCGTAAAATAGCGCGTTTGCTACATTCGTTAAGGTCGCTGCTTTACTCTCGACTACTCGCACCGATCTGGAATATGACGTTTGGATTGGCCATGGTATAATTATTATTCTAGCTAGTCTAGTTAGAGAGTGGTTTCTTCTCTCATCCGCCTGTTAAAAAGTGCCGTTACGTTGGTTTTTTCATTTTGAATTGTAATGCTACCTTAACTTCGGAAGATCAGAAAAACTTTCCCTGATTCTTGTTGAGGTACTCTGTAGTATGCGCATTTTACTTACAAATTACTACTGAATTCCAATTCCATAGCGATAATTGTGTGTTATTTATTAAGTTTAATTATATACGCTTTATTGATTTCTATTATCTAAAATAAAGGTAGTCTTAAGTAAATAATAATTATTGGTTATTAAATTCACTATTTATAGTAGTCACTTACAAATAACAACGGACAGCAATCATTTTGTCACAACTTACGATTCTATCATTCTTCATTCAATTCAAGACGGCTAATTAAATTAATATTAAGCACAATATTTTGCGAAGCATTATCCTATTCTTCTATCATAAACTGTTCCAGCCTTGTAAAATTTTCGTTGTTGCTTCTCCATATTTCCCTTAACAATGGCCCACTAGTTTTCGACAGGTTCGATCAGCAAGCCACAGTCGAAACTTTTTTTTTGAAGAAATTCTTTGGCATGCAAATCGTTATCGTGTTGAAGCTGCCACGGGGTCGTCTAAAGCGGGGGCAACACAAGAAATCAGTCCAATTAAATTTCAAAGATTGGCGAAGTTAACCAATCTAATTACAAGATCATGTGTAACATATAAAGTTCAAAACAAGCCAAAAAGAAGAAAATTCATAAATAACTCAAAATTTTACTATGATAACTAGCCTTTGACTTCTAAGTAAAAATGTTCAGCATGAAATTTTACCCATATATATTAAACATCAATAACTTAATTAAAAAATTGTTATTAATTTGATAATTTTATGTATTTGTCCCCGCTTTAGCCATCCCCCCAATGCATAAGCTTACGGACAAAAATTGTTTATATACCAAAAAAAAGTTCGTAGTATTTGTTTTCCGCGAATCTCGCTTACGTGCGTTAATTTTCCGCAAAAGAAAAACGGCTAAATTTTGCCTAGGAATTGAGGTAACTAATTAATTGTTATTCACAAACAAACACATAATTCAACTGCTAAAACTAAGAGGTACCGTAGTTGGGAGGTCTTTGTAATAAACTCGGGGATTTCCTGATCCCGCATGATCACATGAAATGTTTACCAGCAATCTTGAAATTCTTTTGCCTCCAACCCTCGAATGTAAAAGATATGCAGCTGAATGGGGGAGGAAGGGTAGCTATTGGTGGATGAGCGTACGGACAACTAAATTTGGTAACATAGTTGTAAATAATGTAGCAGACATGGATTCTTTATATAAAGCAGTCTGAAGATAATGGAGGTTGACATAGTAATAGTATATTTCTGTTTAAAATTTAAGTAGCTACATTTATTCTTCACCTGCCTGCCCAACCCAACAGGATGTCGTTTAACGAGTTTTCGCTTCATGGGAATCCAGAGATTTATCTAGACATAGATAACATAGTCTCTCAAGGATATTCTGCAAATCTTCTTTCTTTGCCGATCAACGATAATAATGAGGCTCCGACTGAGTCGTTGCCAACAAATGCTACGTTGGAGTATTGTCAGGATATATCTACGTTCGTTGTGAAATGTAATGGTGAAGAACTTGTCTCATTTCTAATTGAGAAAGAAGCGATGGGCAGCAATGCATACATGCGCTTTAGAGGGGAATTTGTGAGAGCTCTAAAACAGAAGGGAAACGATTTGTATAAAGATATGAAAGAAGTATCTAAATTAACAAGTATAGCTTGGAACAGTGCTGATGACCGTATTAAAGACAAATTCAGACGCAACAGCAGAAAGAGAAAAGTACAATCAATAAAGACGAACACATCTCAGAGTTTTACTTGCCCCGACTGTGGAACTTCCCATGAAATCCCTAGCCAACCCGTCAAACTTATATACGCTGAGACGACTACAACCACACAGAGTATTAAGTGTTCCAATCTTAAATGTCAAAGAAAACACAAACTAGTTGCGACTTACAAAGGTATGTGTTGTTCTCAATGCCCGTAATTTATTTACAACAGCATTCTGATATAATATTTCTCCACCCTGTAAAGTTTTCTCGAAGAAGGGGATCGGCATGTGTTAGATAGACCATATTTTCCGCATAAAATACCAGTTTACTGCGGAATGGTACTGCGATCGGTTTGTTACACAAATACTTGACCATGGTACAGCGTTTTTTACACCTCTACAACGCTAAGAACGACACTGTTTACATGTAAGACGTGCCTTTCGAATCGTCATACTAAAGCAAGCAATATGTTGCAAGTTCGTAGATGCAAAATTTTAAGTACGTTACAGCCAATAAAATAGCGACTTATATACCCCTATCATAATACCCCCCCCCGGTATAAATTTTACTTTTTATATATAGAGTACAACAAAAAGCCTCAATATAACCTTTCGTTGTTTTTGAGATTTGTTGTTAGAAGGCATCTTATCATATTAATATGTCTTACATATATATATAGTAACCGTTAACAGATATAAACTACAAATTTTACTCAGACATGGTTTTGTATCTGGTTTTTGTGAGAAGCATGAAGTGGAAGCAGCAGTTCATTTCATATTCGCATAATACACTCACACAAGTGTAACCAGGTAGTGAGGCAGCCAAGACAAGTATAAAATGAATTCTGTATGAATGACTTACTGAGATAGAAAGCCCAGTAGTCCATGCAGGATCTTAAAAAAAAAAGATTTTTGCTGGACCTGATTTAACGCCTTAAACTGATGACCTCATTGTAAGAGACTTTTATTGTAAGAATGGACCCGATATTTCTTATATTGTATATCAGTTGTACTCAGAGCTATTCCCCTTATGCTCAATGTATTTGGTTCAATCGTTAATGATTGGTTAAAGTCATTTAATGCTTCGTCATATCAAGATAGACAGCTCCCCTTCCACTCCATGCATACGCATCGTTTGATTCAATAGCCAAAGATTTGTTAAAGTCATATAATGCGTTAGCGTATTGTTTACCAATAATATATTAATATAGATTTACCGTATTTCTCTGACTAAAGTAAAATACTCTTCAGCAGTTTTGAGGCCTGATTTTGTAAAAGACCTGGGTACTATGCTCGGAGAAATAAACGCGTCAAGTAAAATATTTGGGAACTTTAGTCCGGTACTAGCAATCAATTCAGACCATAGCTCCGCATAAAGATTTTTCTATGAAAGTCAACACACTACCATCAAAATTCGCTACATTTACGCAGCAACTATTTGTAAAATCCGTAGCCACATGACAGCTAAGCTTACTATTACTGACCTAGTCTTCAAACACTGTTTATCATTCAACATGACAGCTCAATAAATGTCGAGTAGTAACAATAATAATATTAACTGCAAGGTAAACTTGCAAAATGAATATTCACGATGCAGTGAAACTGGTTATCCAAAAAAGTGTTAAGAATCACCTTAAAACGTAATGCGACTCGATATCAATAAATATAACACAATTATTATAAATCGTTATCCTGCTTATTGATATGAAATAAGTGTTTTATGTGAAGTTGTAAATCTTTCGTCTCTCCCATTTATAAACGTTTCAATGTTTTTAGATTTATTATCGTTTTTGAACTGCAGCGGTAAATTTGTTATTACAATTGCTGTATAAGGTGCATTTGCTTGTGATTGATTCTTAATTTCAAACAGTATTCAATTGTAACATTGATTTTATAGTAATAGTAATTATCGCTGCAAGTTTTGTGAGGAACAATTACAAAAAGCTCTTCACACGAAACTATGTCGTAATTACTGTCTCAACCAACGTTACTTTCCAAAAGTGAAGTCGTTTCGTGCTGTTATATCGAAAATGACTTGAGTCGTTCGATCACCAGAAAGAGCATCTGTTGCGTTTTTAAAATTCCATACTTGGATCTAAAACATTGTCTTGTCATTAATTAAGTTTATTTGTACGCGGTTTCTGTATACTCTATCTCAGGGTGTAAGGTGGGCAACACTCTAAGCGACCAACTGACCTCTTACTAAGTAGAAAAATTAAATCATACTGTGCTAAACCATGATCCATTAGCTTACCATCAGATATTGATATTGGCTATAGCTTTGCAAACTTTATGTTGAAATTTTAGCTCAACACATTCCTGAAATCAATTAGACGCTTGGTAAAAGTTGAAGGTTCCCGAGCAGGACAATGATCCAAAGCATATAACTAAAAATTTTATATTCAACAGAATATGGATTGGCCCAACAGTCTTTGTTTAAATCCCAATAGAAATTTCCGGTGTATCACTAAACATAACGTTAATAGTTAAATGAAGTAATGAAGAGTTAACGCAAGTTATGGAAGAATGGAAAGATGCTCAGGAAACGACTCAACGAAGACGTGAATTTAATTTTTGAGCGCAATGGTAAGCAGTCTCATGTAGTTATTATTCATAAATCTATAGGTTTTTTAAGCGTTTATTCAAATCAGCAAGTGTACATGTACGGATTTAAAAATATCTCTTTCTTAGTTACACGCTGCACTGTCTATCTAGTAACGAGTTGTTTATTTTTACAAAATCAATTACGCGTGGTTTATCAGCAACCGGATGAATTCAAACCCATGTTGCCGGTAGGGCATAAACCAATACAAATTTGGTAGTTTGGTTATGGACATTTTTGGGCGTAAATATGAAAAGAGAGGTTGATCGTTCAAGTTAATATGTTTCTCTTACATTATAGCCCCCCTTGTTCTTCCCTGTCGTAGTCGAATCATTTCCATTTTCTCTCATCGATTTCCTGATTTGATATTAATATCAACCGCGAGGAAGATAAGAAAACATTCCCCTAATACATTGGTATGCCATGACTATATGCATTGAAACCTAATCCATTGAAGAAAGAGACTGACGCCAAGAACATTACAGATTGGGCATTCAGTTAACTCCTCGCAAAGTGTGGTTGGTTCAACTAATAGGCGCCCATGCAAAGCTTCTTTAGCAATAGCGTATTCTCATATATATAATTGCGATCCGTAGCAATAATGTTTTAAAGTTTATTGGGATATGTATATGTATGCATATATAATGTATACACAATGCACACACACATATGGTACTGATTGACGGGAATGTTAAACGAATGATGAACGTCGCAAATCAATCGATCAGAATGCCGAAACGTTCGAAACGACCGTTTTTAGCAGATAGGCAATTACAGTGCCTTAAATCGTACCGTTATCAACACACAGCCGATATAAATTTATTATATGGTATCATTTAATGACATTTGGAATGCACTGGATAATGGTTTCCTATGCATTCGATGCTTTTGTCAAACTACTCCAAAAACTAATAAAATGACAAGAAACAAACGTTTTCTCGATAAAACAAACGCTTTCTTGACTATCAAGGATTCACAATGAACACAACTGATATTGGCCGTGATTTTAACGCGATGTCGGACGAATTCTTGTCTTTGGAAAATCGAGAGTCTGACCAAGTCCCAAATGGCATAGCCTCTGGATATCATCTTAATTATCTTTCTCTGCCGATCAATGATAACGAGGCCAATCGGTCCCGGTTGAATGCTATATTGCAAATCTTCAATCAGATCACTCAGGCATATCTTCTTTCCTTGTCGAGCAACGCTAATCGGACCGAGTGGAACGCTTTATTGCAAAACTTGATCTCTCAGGCATATTCGTTGATCAACGATAACGAAGACAATCGGGCCGAGTGGTACGCTCTATTGCAAGATTTGATTGACATAATCTCTCACGCATATTCGCTGATCAACGATAACGAGGCTAATCGGACCGAGTCATTGCCACATGTTACGTTAGAGAACTGCCAAGATGTGTCTATGTACGTTGTGAAATATAATGGTGAAGAACTTGTCTCATTCCAAATTGAGAAAGAAACGAAGGGCGGCAATAGATACATGCGCTTTAGAAATACAGTTGTAAAAGCCCTAAAACTGAAGGGGCACGCATTTTCTAAGGATATGAAGGAAGTATCTACATTAACAAAAATAGCTTGGCACAGTGCTGATGACCGTATTAAAGACGAATTCGATCGCATAGGGAACAGTGCTGATGACCATAGTAAAGACAAATTTAATCGCAAAAGGGGAAAAGTACGATCAAAAAAGAAAAACTCGTCTTTGAGATTTATTTGTTCCGTCTGTAAAATCTCCTTCCCTATCCAACATGCCAAACGTATATATGCTGCGGATAAGGAGGCCACAACCAGGCGTGATATTACGTGCCCTAATTGCCAAAGGCTACACAAACTTCATACGACTTACAAAGGTATGTAATCAGTATTTGGTTTCAATAACTAACTAACATTTATTAATAACATTCTACAAATATTTTCTCTTCTCTTACTAAGTCGTCTCTGAATAACTTGAAGTAAAACTCACGCAGAACGCAACGGTTTATAAACAACTGCGTTACAAAATCCTCTTTAACTTCGGAAACTGGTGGCAAACAGCAAGACCTGGAAATATTTTTGATTCTGGGATTCCTGAAATCACGCAAGGGAACAGTTATTGTCTGGAATAATGCTATTTGCGCCAATTACATAGTATCTCAATTATTGTAAGGGAGGCGAACGTTAAAATCATCTTCCATTCGATACGGGTTATGTTTCATAGGAATATTTGGTAGATTAATTTAAGTATACATATACATTTAACATTCTATAGGCCAGTAATAGTAAGATACAATTATGTTTCGAATAAAAAAAAGGGATGATGTTGACTAACTTCTGTGTCTTGCTGAGTCTTTTCAAGCTTCCAGCACTCTGAAAAAAGGGGTCATGTCGCGAGTATAAAGTGCATTTGCTAGCGATTATCTAAAGAGTGGAAAATATGAATTTAAGTATATTAATATTAATATACAAGTATATGCGTTTTGTAACAAAAAAATCGACCGAAATTGGCATAAACACATTGTGACGATCGTTTCTTACTGTTTATATCAATTTCTACTTCCTGTGAAACAAGAGCCTTTTACCAATGCTTTGCAATGAATGTCATTAATAAAAAGAAGACTTAATGACTTCTCCCGACAAGCAGACGATGAACAATCCCGTCAGCTCAAGTCAAATTAAAGAGCTGTTTGGCGGCTTTTCCGTCCCAAACCTTTATTTTCCAGACTCGTACGTTAGTCAACCTGAGCAACAAACAAGTTCAGATCCAAAAGCTGAACTTCGGCATGATTATAATTCGGGAACGACCACTCTGAACCTGGACGGTGAATACGTTACCTCGTTTCAATTGAATGAATTTAATACAAGTGGCAGCAGTAATGGATTTTTCTATATTAGATGTCTCATAAATGAGGCTCTAATACGAGACGGCAACGACCTCTACAAGGATCAGGCTCGGGTTTCCAGGATTGCCGGTGCAGCTTGGCATTCTACAACCGACGCTATCAGGCAAATGTTTAACGATTTTAACAGAAGTCTGGTATCGGCTTCAGGAATGGCAAGCCCACAACGCAATGTAACTTGCCCCCATTGTCATAACTGCTTTGTATTAGTTCAACCCGACCCGCCCAGGCCGAAGCGACGGAAGCAGCGACAGCAACGACGGCAAAGACGAAGACCAGGGGGACAGGAACCTGAGTAATGTGTATCAAGATTCAAGGACTAGAGGTTGAGGAAGTGGTGTATTTGAGTCTCAAGATTAAAATATACGAGTTTCTTGTAAAAACCAATGTTCTTTTTTTGTCTCTAGTTTGGCACCCACCCAACTACCGTGAAACCTTAAAGTGTAATAATAAGTCTTTACAAGCCGCGTTTTTGGTTCAGTTGTATATTCTTTCACTTACGGGCCCAGTTCTCTGTAGACAATGTACTTAAATGTATTGTAGCAAAGCTTGTATATCACTTTGTTTGGGTTCATCGATGTAGAATATCAAAAATATTTTTAGGATGTAGAAACCTTGACTGAGGCTTCTCGTGTAGAAATAGTGTACCGTATGAATCGGAAATAATAAATCTAATTGTTTGTTTAACGAGAATACAAAGCACAAATATCAATTCCATCGATTAGCGAAACTTGTAACTATAAGCAATCCTCTTCCGCTGGTAATCTTATGATACTCCTACGCCCTCGCACCGGAGCCGTTCTCTTTGCGATTCGAGCACTTCCATTTTATTGAACAGATGATGAGAACCCTGCCAAAGTATATTGTACCAATTGTCATTCCTTAGTCTTGTGAGAATTGGAGCACCGCCGTTCCCATTTGACGGTGGTGCTGTGGAAAATTGGTGTGAGCCTTTCTCAGAAACATTCTGGTTACCCCATGTTCGATTCGGACGTCCACATCGCAGATATATCGTCAATAAATACCGTATTCTTCCGAAATAAGCAACACTTTTCGTTAAAGTGTTGCTTATTTCGGGTAGTATAATAAAACGAAAGAATTTGTTTATTTATAAAAGTTTAATTTTTCCGAAGTTTTGCTTATTTTTGGAAGAATACGGTAATAGTAAATAGTTTTACAGAATTTCGGCTTGGAAGGGATCGAGTCGATGATCAACTTCCCGGAAGCTGAATTGTTCGCAATTTTCCCCTTGATAGATATCATCGGCAACAGCAATCTCAATTAAACACACCTGTCTTCGTAGAGCCTATATACCACAACATCGGTCTTGCTATCTTACGGTTATTCAGTGGAGCTGCCGAAAAGGTCATATGTGACGTTTGCGTTACTGTTTTGCGACTGAAAATCCAAATTCAGCAATACAAAAAGGAAACTGTTGATCGGTGTCATTGAAAACAAGGGCAGCAAAATCAGGTTAAATTCATCTTTGCTATCAGTCTTGCTGTCTTTGCCAAGTTCGCGGTTTTAGCGATATAAGCTTGACTCAAATATAGATGCTTTGTTAATGATATAACAAAAGCAGTTGTCGAACCAGAGAACTTTGGTTTACGGGCCTTGAGATTTAACTCTTTTCAATTGGAGCCCTTTCGATATTCCTACTTTTAGTAGAATGAGACCAGAAGGACAGATATTTCGCGTACACGTCGATAGTTATGCATACGTCACACACGCGAGTGACACAGATTACAAATTAACCTAATTTGACATGTTTTTTCGTGTCCTACAAAACCCTAGCGCCTATCGCCCAGTAACTATCGGTGGCTGTTCTTACAATTTCCTTGATACGGAAAGAATGTCGTGCGACAAAACCATTAGCAAAACAGATAATAATTTATTTGATTCTAAAAACATTGGAAAGTATTTCATTATATCAAAAATCCGTTCTATATTTTTTAACTTCGGCTACAATTGTCTGTATACTGACAGGCTGCTGTTTGAATTTAAGACTATTATCCGGTATTCTTTTTTCCAACAGCTCATGAAATTTGGTATAATAAATTATCAATTGTCCCAAGACAGAATGGAGTATCATTGTTCCATTCTTGAAATTAGAAAAATGCTGAATTACTGATGCATTGATGGATGTAATTGATTGGCGCCAAGTCGTCGCAAAATTTGTTGACACTTCTTCAAAGCGCTCTGTATTTGGTGACAAGTTTGTAAAAGTCAGGACGAGCCTATTTTATTATTCCGCACGCGACAAGAAAAAGCATAGACCTGACCTGATGGTAAAGAATTGATATCCTCTGCTTGCTCGACCTGCTTAACAAATGAAATCAAGCCACCAAAGTATGGCTCCAACTCCTCCTCGACAAATCCAGAAATTTTAGAGCTCAATAACTGTTGAAAATGGTTAATTTCCGCTTCCACTGCTTTCCCTCCATTCTCCTAAAAAAGACGTTAATAAACATCGCGTCGTACGTAAAAAATCTCGACTCGAGCACCAAGTACTCACATTGAGGATAGTTATAACCAGATCATAATTGTTTATTAAAAATATGTAACGGCTCTTGTGATCAGAAAACTCGGTTGACATCTTATTAAGTAGTAATTCAACCTCATTACGTACTCGAAGCAGACTGTACAGCGAAATAAAAGTAAGACCAAGTGTGAACAAGCAATCAATCCAATAAATTAGAACAAACGATATACCTGTTTGTCAGTATAGGGTCGTTGGCATCCTCATTAAGCTTTAATATTGATGCTGCAAATTCAGCATAACGACGAGTCACCTAGGAAAAGAAAAAAAATCAAGGATAATGAGAATGTAAGGTTTTCAATCATATTATAAAAATGCGCGCACCGAATGTTTACTTACAAAGTGCGGATGGGTATCTTTTACCACAAGCTTATTGCCTGCTTTCTTAATACTTTCAATATGCAAATCTATAATGGACTGGAACCGCGGCCATAGCAACATATTTGTTTGATTAATGTAACCCTCCAGGGCAGGCACTCTTCTTCTTTGCAATTCAAGCGCAAACTGCATGTTCAACCGAATGCACAGCAAAATGCCAACGGCATCATAACTGTTCTCAATATAGTGTTTTGTAGCAGCAAGACCCATTTTTATCGTAGGATCAAATATCTCTGCAAATACTTCGCGTGCAACATCTATTGCTGGCTTGTCATCCTTGGCAAAGAATTCGACGATAAACAGATACTCGGAACTGGCGTTATCGATAAATATCAAATTGAAGCTTCTGAAAAGAGCTTCATATGAATATTTCTAAAATATGAGTAATTATGGTCCATTAAACGGTGTTTTGACTAGTAACAGATCAACAAGAGACGTCTGAATACCTGGCTTGAGGTTTCAGCGACATGCACAAGTATAACTCCTGCGTCAGTGTTTCGGAGAGTATTTATTCGATCGCCCAAGGAAAAAGTGTTCACTTTGTCTTTCAGGGCAATCTTGCTGGTTCCAAATAATCCACCTAAAATATCGATAACGGTTCATGACTGTGCACACAGATTAAGGCTTTAAAATAACATAGCCCATAATCACACTAACCCTTTTTTAAGCTCTCATCGTAACCGATTAAATCGCCTTTGCCTGCAATAGAGTTCTTTTTCAACACGACAACGAGTCAGCTTAATATTAAACATCACAAAAAGTAGTTAACTTGGATTTCTTCGATAAGTACTTGTAGTCTTTGCAGCCCTTTATTGTATCTCTCAAAATGATTGGAGAAATACCATCTCATGGTATTCACATAAGTCTGCCTTATTTCAAACGCTACTTCAGCGTATCTTTCCATAAGAAACTGGTGAAGTTGCTTATATTTAAGAAGGACCGATTGTTGAAGAATTTGGATGTTGGTATTCGGTATGCGGAGGGATTTTATCTTCATAAGCAGAAATTCTCGTATCTTCTCTGACGCCTTTATAGAAAGAAGACATAAAAGTAAATTCGAATGCGTATTATAGTTATAGCACGTTAAATAATTACTGTCATACCTTTAGCCTCAATTTCTCAAGTTCAGGTTCAATATCTTTTAGTGCTGTGACATTCTCGCCCCGATGAGTTTCTACGTAAGTCATTTTCTTGTTCATTTCTATTAAATAAGCGAGCCACACTTCATCTATATTCCCTTCAGTAATTTTTCTTTGAATGTACACATTCATCAGTAAAAGTTATAAATAATATATGACAGGAAATTTGCAAGAAACCAGATACATACTTTATCATAGACGGGGATATAACGATTCCATCCAAAACAGTATTCAGTCGTTCCTCCACAGCCTGAATTTAAAACATAGGATTAACATAACATTTTCAATTTCAGTTAAAACGCTCGTTAGAATTCAACAAACACGTACCATTCTATTTTTCAATTTGATATTCATGATCATTGATTTGTCTTGGAGTGTTTGAATCTCTGAACTAATGTTTCCCAAATCTGCCTGAAATACAGTCAACATGTCTTCCATAGTAGCCAGGATTTTATCACATGACTAAAAGCAGGATGAATTAATTGTTTTTATCTGGCAGACAGCTCCTGCAAAATCTTTTCTTGGCAGATACCTGAATCTGGTTGTGCATTTCTACAAAATTCCTCGTTTGATTGATGTCTTAGACACATGTTTACACTAGTCAAGAATTTTATGCAGACTACTTTTCCGACGAATAACAAAAACAGGCAGACATGTAAAGGATACAATCTATTTCATGCTCTTTGTCTATAGCATTTAATTCATTTTCAACGTTCCACGCATACTCCTGCAAGTCTACTCCCTATTAAAATTGAGAAAAGAGACGGTCAGCATTTATCCATCAAGTAAATACGCAAAACTTTAAACAGACCTTTGCGATTTCTTGCCTAACAAACTCATCTTCCTGAATTTCTGTATCAATATTAAAAGGACAGTTTAAATCGCATTCTCACTTAAGAAAGACGGACTTGAATTATTACATTACCGTTGACTTTGTCAGATGTAATTTCAGAATGGTTCTCTCCAGGTGTGCTGTCGGGTTCAAGTTTACGCAAGATTGAAGAAGACTACCACACACATGTGAGGGATAATTATGCCGAGTCAGAACTGTCTTGAACCCGACAAAATGTATTCTAATCTAACTGTACGTTTTCAGAAAACTCAAAATGTTTGTTTGCCTTACATCGCCAAATAGCTTTTCAAACACTTTCTCGAATGCAACGGACGGCGATTCAGGCTTATTTGTTGCCTCTTCAGAAAATTTACCTTTAGACGGAACAAAAAGCCGATCAGGACGCTCCATTAATTCTGGTGATTTTAATAACCCAGGCCAAGCAAAGTGAGCATACACTACAAAAATAACATTGATAATTATAATTAACGATTTTTGTACGACGACACAAAATCACGCGAATTTTCTATTACCATTACTATTACTATTGCATTTATGTACACTCATTGAAACTGTAATTGTCGTAAGTCTAACATGCACCTCTTTCATATAAAAACGCCAAAGTGAATTCATCATAAAAGGACATGGATTTCCAGAAGACAATTGATTATATATAAGCTTCGTTCTTGTATTAACATTATAGCATTCAGTTAATCTTTTTAAATGCATGTGTTTTGATTCTGTGATTCTTAGACGCATTCTCTCTGGGGGCAATGTAGATTTACAAATTCCTGTATATGTAATTTGGAAATTATATCGTAGAAGACATTTGGGAAACAATGTACTTGAAAACAATTATAATTACATGCTCGATTAGTTACTAGATAGCGTTAAAGACCTATAGTTTCTGCTATGACGAAACAGATACAGAATATTGGAAATTTCAACGCAGAGCGAGGGTTTTTCGAACATTTATCTTAACGTATTCGTTCTATTTTTAGCGTATATAACAATCGGCTGGGATAAAGCGCATTTACAGGAAACAGCGGAATCAAACTATCACATCCTTTTCCTTTAATCAATCGTGATCGTAATATCTATGACCCCAAGTAAAGTCCAAAAGTCCACAAATTATCTTTCAATTCACGTATGCTATCTCACCAAATTCTGCACAACACTTCCCCGCCTTGATTACAGGCTATCGCCTCATGAACACTTATGACGCCAAGCGTAGTGCTGATAATAGCGACTTCTCCAATCTTCAAGCCACTCACGAAATCCACTCGTTGTCCAGCCAAAAACCTCTGCAATTCTTCCACATTCATATAAACACGCCTCGATCCTTTACTAACGCAACTCATGTTCTTCAAGACCGGCTCATTCTGTCTGTATTTCAATTCAAGCCATAGTCGACGCGTAGCGATATTCTCTGGTGTGTTTGGCACGAACTCTTTATCCGGTCCGCGGTGATCACCCCGAGTGACCGAGGATATAAAGCCTTCACGATAAAGTGCGTTACATATGGCAAGGTTCATTTTTTTGTCTGGTACAGATATCGATCTTAATTGTGCTCGGAATCCGTTCTGAATTCGTGCGCAAAGGTCATGAACTGCCGGCATGTGTTGAACGAGTGTGATGTCTCTTGCGGCGGAATACAGTAAGTAAAATAAATAGGGAAAGAATGAATGCTATGGACAAGCAAGCGAAGGCAAAATGCGTTAAGATTGCAAAATTTAGGTCACACAAATATGGGCATGACCAGCATTTTATTGGTTGAGACATAAGATAAGGCACGTAGAAAATAATAAACGTGTATTTCATTGCTTGCTTTATTGTTCCCTCTTTATTCGTAGCATTTACTGAATCAAGCGAAAAACAAATCAAAACCATTGTTCACGGTAAGTGTCTATGTTGTCAAGTTCTGAGAAGAATGTTGTATCTTAATCTTGCTGCGTTCCTTGATGCATGGAACATATCACTTGTGGAATAATTGCACCTTGGAAAAAATCTAAAGTGCCTTATCGTTTCAATTAATAGCTTTTTTTTCTACTTTATATTAACAACGTTTTAAATAGTTGGTTTTCCTGTTTATGTAATTAGCAATCAAATCTATTCCGCGAACTGCTTCGCCACTTTTGACGTTAGGAAATTGTTCTTCACTCATCAGGTTTGTCGGATTTGTCTCAAGTTTATCAGGATACTTACCATGTCAATTATCGCTTGAGAATTGAGCTCATCATCGATTTGATCGGCTGTTAAGGAATCCGAAATAAGTCATCGGTCAATTAAATGTTGAACGTACCAAAAGTATTACGCGCTTTATTTTTGAAAAATGGTTTAGTATTTCATGTCCTCTTCCACTATCTCGAGTTTATGCTGCAAGATATTCTGTAATCGTTGTTCGATGATGTCTTACAACTTTTGCAATTTCTGTATTGTTGTGGCCTAATTTTTTTTGTGCAGAAATTAATGCCTTACCAAGACGCATTACGCGAAAGTTGAAAATGATAAATTTTTAGAAGCGGATGCGTGTTAGCGTTATTAAATTTCGACCGTGCAATACTTCTGAACTTTTAGGCAATGCAGGATTCTAGCTCAAGTTAATGGAGCTGTTGTATAATAGTATATGCCGTTGATTACATGACTGTCGATTAATCCGTTCCTTTATACAGACCCAGTGAATTGTCATACTCGCCCATTTCCCTTTCAGTTCTTCTAACTTTTTGCAACACGTACAATATAATTAGTATTAGTATTCGAGCACGATTTGTTATTGGTTTTAAATCCTCGTTAAATATAACTACCGGTTTTCTTCTCTTCAAGCCAAAAATGTAAACATATCTTCAACGCTGTCGGTGATTTTGTATCATTCAACATTTACAGGCACAAATCTTTAATTTGGTTCCGGCATTCAAGGGTCATGATTGTTTTATTTGAAATAACACTCGCAGTTGGGAGAGAGAAGTTTAGGAACGTGCTGTATATAACATATATCCGGTATCAGTTTCCGATTAGACTGTTAGCACTGACACCTGCTTTCTCGATCAATTAATTGTTTCCATTTGATCTATCACGATGATGATGAGCGATGATATTCGTAACAGGACAGTTTAAACATTCGGAAAGGTGACTACACGATAATTAAGATTCCGATAAATTTCCGTTCACTTAGTCTTTCTCGTATCTGCTCAGGTTGCTACGAAAGTGTACGAAACATCAGAACACCGAATAGGAAGATTTTGCTACCGCTTTGCTTCATGAGAGGTTATAGAGAAAGAATGGAAACATGTGACAAGGTATAATAAAGGCTACAAAATTATAAGTTATTTGAGAGTGCTTACGAAATACCAGACGACTTTATAAAACAAATTGACGTCAACGTATAAACCAACGAATAAACTAATTTTACTACTATTACATTGGAATCCAAACCAATACAAGCCACTCAGCCCTCTAGCGTTCCAAAAGCAAACAACAAAGTTTACAAGTTCAAACACATATTCCTGGAACATACTGATATTCAACCAAACTAACGTTCTTATCCGTGTTTACACTTTCTGGTCCTTCGTCCACAGGTATTATTGCTCCATTTGCATTATTATCTACAATTAATCGCATAAAACCGCGGTACATCTCTATACGTGCATTCTGGAGAAGGACGGTTGTTTGAGGGACTAGGAGTGAGATTTGTTCTTACGAAGAGATATAATTTACAATGTTAATAGGATATTTGAACCACTGGTTCACGAAAGCGAAAAGAATAAATAGGTGGCAGTCATACCATCAATTGCTTTTAATATCACGCATCCACTTGCATCGCCAACTAGGAATTCTGCTACTTTTACTTTTACCCATGCTAGTGACCAAAGAGATAGACAAGCATGTATATATTAGCACATGGTTATGATGGAACATATGTCAGTCGCTTTTTCGGCGATATCAAACCAAACTTACATGCGTTATCGCTAACTTCACCAAGCATTATCTGCGTAATCACTTTCACACAGAGATTCAATTGACATTGATCTGGTTGAAGTGTCGATACAGGACTAGCTACCGGATCACATGGTGAACACTAAGAGTAAGCCAGCAAGCATTAACGAACACCGTCAAATCGGAAAAAGATTCACTCACATACTCTCTTTCGGTGACATTTGGTAGAAACGGGAATGGCGGGCGGTAGAAATTAGAAAGCACAATTACATTTATATCAAATGATGTGTCACACCATGCAGATCATCGGAGATTTATTCCTTCGCTCGCGATATTAAATAACCCTGTTCCTCTATTAATTTCTTCTTATTATATTGCGTATACGAAATAAGACAATTTGATGACTATAACACAGTATCGTATGACGAGGTTACCGCTCTTTTCAATTAAACATAGAGGAGTTGAGCTGCGAACCATACTAACGTTCTTTTGCTGACAAATATGCAGTTTTCAATCAATTTGACTTTCATACGACAGTGATTAATACCACACTTTTAGTTATCGTCTTTGAAGAGATAATCAGCGACACGGACACGATGGAAATTGAGCATATTTATACTAATATACTTGTAGACGGGATTCACAAGGTGATGGAATGGAACTTTATCGCCATGACTGTCGTCTACAATAAATTCACCTGATTATATTTACATTATATCGAACATTTGTATAAGTTGGTGACTCACAATGATTGTAATTTACACCCGCAATGCACATTCTAATTGCATTACTAGTGTATGATGACGTCTTTGCTCCTGCTATTTTCTCCTCACATTCTGATAATAATATGTCAACTTCTATCGGCGGTGCATTGACTTTGACGATGATGTGTGATATGAAGACTGCCCCATTTTTCTACATTCGGTTCACGGTACATCATGCAAGCGAATACCGCTCAACCTTCTTACCTTTCACCGTATCTCGTTTACCAACGTACTTGCCTCTCTATGGTTATTCGGGTCGTAAGAGAGAACATATTGAGTTTCACATAAATTGCTCCATCGATGAATCATTGCAGCTGAATTTCTGACCAATCAGGTAAATTTAATCGTACTCTGCTTTATTTGGAAATGAGCCCATCCACAGTATGAAGGAAACCGTGACCAAATTTACTGCACAATGGTCTCGATGTAATAATAATGACTATGCCGTTAACCGAAAATTAAAACCTCTTTTCTTAGAATTCTGGATCTACATTTTTGCGACATCGTTTAAGATATCACTGATGAGAATTCATTTTATATTTTTGCCTAAAATGGAAGGTTACAATTGAAAAGGACCCTGTATTTTCTGTTATCAAAAGCACACAATGCTTTAATCGGAATTCTGACCAAAAAATTTTAAGTTGTCAGACCCAAATAAATTTTAATCACTGATTTTATCATTTTTATCAGTTTAATGAGAGATTCTCTGAAGATATTCCAATGTCCTTCTTAAGACTGCATGCGCCTTTCAGGACTATTAACTTAACAAAGGTATTCGATACAATAATAATTGATCAAACGATAGATGTAAACGCCCAACTAATCCACAAACGTTCAAACAGCTCATAGGTACCCGTTCTTTAGCAACCGCCTCGCATAGTTTCAATAGTAAGAAAAACTCTCAAGTACGAACGATGTCTCAATCTCTGTTTAATCCAGAGAGGACATTATACGCTTTTCTGACCATCAGGATGTTTTTATATTAGGGAAACTATACAGTTACACTTATACCTGGAGATGGTATTGGACCTGAGATATCAGAGTCGGTGAAAAGGATCTATCATGCTGCTAAAGTAAGCTTTCAATTGATCTATACCATTTATTAATGATATTAAGCGGGAGGATTGACTGTTTGTCTTTTCGATCCACTGTTTGACTGAATACACTTCTTTTATTCTTATAAAGTCTGTTTTTGTTGAATTTCGTTTGTAACAGGTACCCATTGAGTGGGAGGAGGTTACCGTGGTACCTTATTTGAAGGATGGCAAGACTGTCATCCCAGATGCGGCGTTGAAATCTGTGAAAAAGAACACTGTTGCTTTAAAAGGTACGTGGATACTATTCTCTGGTATAGATGGTGAAAGGGGGCGCATCTTTAAAAATTTAACATACCATATCGATACGAATATGATTTATAGGACCGTTGGCAACACCGATTGGCAAGGGTCATGTGTCTCTCAACTTGACTCTGAGACGTACTTTTAATCTGTTCGCCAACGTGCGTCCATGTAAATCAATTGTGGGTTATAAAACCGTATACGATAATGTCGATACAGTATTAATTAGAGAGAACACGGAAGGAGAATATTCGGGCATTGAGCACATGGTGAGCAGATGTTTCAATTAATTGAAAGGTGTGCAGATTGAATCGGAAATTGCTCATTTTGACATGCTGGTTTTAGGTCGTTGATGGCGTCGTTCAATCTATAAAGCTTATTACCAAAATTGCGTCCGAGCGCTGTGCTCGATATGCATTCCAACATGCTCGGGATATTGGTCGTAACCATGTTACTGCCGTGCATAAAGCTAATATAATGTATGTGACAACGACTCTCAGTCATCTTCATCAACACGGATTGATTTTTATGTCGGTTGATTTTTATGTCGGTTGATACTTGTAGGAGAATGTCAGACGGTTTGTTCTTGGATGCATGTAGCGAAGTCGCCAAAGATTTCCCAGACGTTAAATTTGATGACGTTTTGTTGGACAGAGCGTGTCTCCACGTAAGTACAACAAGTATTTTGGAATTGAATTCAGGCCTTTTTTTTTTACTAAATTAAACTTCTGAATCGTTATTTGTAGATTGTACAAGATCCTTCTCTTTACTCGAACGTTGTAATGGTAATGCCTAACTTGTACGGAGATATCTTGTCAGATATGTGTGCCGGCTTGATCGGCGGTCTTGGTCTAACACCGTCTGGTAACATCGGAAGAGATGCCTCGATTTTTGAAGCCGTACACGGAACGGCACCCGACATTGCTGGCAAAGGTATATATTCCTACGTGTTTCTCTCAATGGAACAAGCAATTTGCTCCCATGATGAAGTAAAGTCACTTACATATCTCGTGCTTCTACAATCTATTTGCTCATTATAGATCTAGCAAATCCTACAGCTCTGTTGTTGTCTTCCATAATGATGCTTCGCCACATGCGACTCAATACTTATGCAGATGTAATTGAATCTGCCGTATTAAAAACGATCGCCGAGGGTAAGAAACTGACACGAGATTTGGGCGGCACGGCGTCAAATACAGACTTTACGAACCAAATTATTAGTAATTTAGGGTCTGTGTGAAATTCGCAAAAAAAATAGTGGAAAGCGTGCAAATTGTCGCGTATCTGATTGGTGGCTCACTTTAATAACTGCATCAAAAAATACAATGTTAATGCATATTTACTATTTGGGACTCCTTTATATGAACACAAATAAAAACTGGAAAAGCGAGTTTATAAATTGGAGGTCGATGTGGAACGTGTGCAGAGCTGATTGATTCATTTGTCTACATCTCAGGTCTTATAGCGAGAATTATTACAAGGATAATTCAGAAAGAATCAAAGATTAGTTTTTTGGGGCATGTAGTGTAAAGTTCATCAACGCGCCGTGGCTGTTGTACGGCGAAGTACTGTCTAAGGAAAATGAAAGCCTTGACATTTCTGGCCAGATTGTCGTAATGCATCATCCCGACTTACGCGAACGAATTTATTAAATCCTCTCTTTCAGAATTAATTTTGTTACAGCTTATACAAGATGATTGTTAATCATCGACTTTCAATAGAAAGCAGCAATATATGAATAAAACGCCAATATATAATTCAATTGCAGTCTTTATAAAGAAAGTGATTACTGTCTAAAATTTTGCTCCTGTTTAGCGAAACTAAAATGGAGAATCGTCTACTCGTATAATAAAGTTGTATAAGTTATGGAGCAGACAGAAGTTTCCATAAAACGTTTCTGTGCTGACGTGAAAGTAGTGCGCGCGTCTGTTTTTGGGAATCCTTATGGTTTCCTGTAACACTTGTATACGACTTGGGTTTCTGCAGCTATTAATTATAATAATAATAATAAAGAAAACTCTTGAATCACACTTCTTAGTCTTAGTCCCATGAGCTGTGTCACAGCATTTACAGACTTGTCACGTGATAAAGACTATAAACACTTGCAGTAAATAAACGACGCGACTTTTTACGCATTTATGTTGTTGTTTATTTACAAAGAAAGCATCCTGTTGTGGAGCACTGATGGCTAGCGCTCACAAAGGTCTTTCAGGTCTCGAGGCAGGAGAAACCAATGATGAAAAAACAAACATTGAGAGGAAAACGGGAAAGAGTAGTAGGGATGAAGATGCAAAGATAAGATCGAATAGCTTGTATTCTAGGCTCTCGCAATCAACGACGATGGGAACATTTGAAAAAGTTCATGTATGGCTGTCTAGACTTGAAACAACCGCATTAGACTCTGCATCAGACACACTTCTCGAGGACGCTAGCATGAATTCCAACTCTCAAAGACTCAAGCGACTGTCTCGGCAGTCAAGCAACGAAGAATATCGTCGATTTCAGAGGTTAATTCAAGATCAAAAATGGAGGGCCAAGCGACGGCGTGGTGATTTGAAGCGCTGATTGGGGGAGATTTGTAAAAGGGAGAGCCATGCATTAGGGACCATTGTAAGAAAAATTCACGTGAATTAAATTGATATTCATTATTTGAAATAACGGTTTTATAGTCATTTTTCTTTAGGACGGATCTGCAAGGTGACCATTCCAGTAACCAAACGGGGGGAGGCATTCTCATTTATTCTCGTTCAAAAAGATGATGGAGAGATAAGAGTCGGAAGCGGATGATGCAGAGGGGCGTTGATATTACAACGTATTTTGTGGGCTGTGCGTGAGAGAGCAATGAATTGATGGAGTGTAAATAGGCGTAGGTTATTTTAATCTTGTAAAGTACATATTATTTAATCCATGATCGCCGTCGTGTTCCTGAGACAATTTGTATCCATATATTCGAGAACGTTAATCCGGCAGTTTTTCTTATAGTAAGTAATTAGCTTCATCTAAGCCCACTTAAAGTGACACAGCAGAAGACATTCTGTGCGCTTATTGTCGCCAATCCTATATTAACTATGCACGTGCTGTTAAAACTTTCTCAATGAAACATTAAGGAAAGTCATTAACGCTCAAAAATGCTAAAATTATTATGATAGTATGCAACGCACCTAGACGTGTTACAATACTAGTATTGATTCAGATTATGGTAATATCAATGAGGTGTTCCTGTCATTTTCAATACTTTTCCTTTCTTTACCTGCGCACTAACCGGATTGGTCTCACCGTCTTGCATTGTTGCATCCCCCCCTAATTTGTTTACCTAATTGAGATGATCAGTTATTATCACATATAAACGCGCGCGCAGTATTCAGTTTTTACAAATGATGATCAGGCAAATAATGATTGGATAAAAATTTTTATTTTTTTTTTCCGCAAAATTTTCAATGCCCGCTTAGTTTCACAGACTCGGTATAATCGTTATAATTTGTATAACCTATAAATAAGCCATTGTGTTTCACCGAACAAACATTCTGTTGATTATCGTATATATACTATAGACTGACGCAAATATGATTACACCAAATACAGATAAAAGCACGCTTGGTACAAATAGATACGACAGAAGGGTTCCCCGAAGAGTAAAAAGATAATCTCCTTACAACATTTAGAGATACTTTCAGCAGAGTATGACACCAGCAAAGACGCATTCCAGAACAATACCACCACAGGTACCTGTGGACAACGTCCCAAATCAAAAGCGTAAGTATGGCGGGAAGTGGGTGGGAATATCGAAGAGACCCGGCTGCAGATTCGCAGGCAACATGGAGAAAGCGACCCACATATTTATTCAGTATTTATTTTTTTTTATCTGGTAGACGTGATAGGCGTATGTGCTATGAAAGCTAAAGCGACTTCAAAGCCTATGGAGAGCATACTAAATAGATTAGTTGCTTATAATGAAATAGACGTTGTAACTTTCGATGAGGAAGTTATACTGACGAAAGGTATGGTCTCGCTCATTACAACAGTAATGCTTATAAGCGAAGAAATAACGCTGCTTGGAAGAACTTTATTTTGTGGTCTACCCTTTTTCTATTCCTGCTTCTTCTCACGCGCATACCCGACAAACAGATGTCCATTCATGGCCTCACTGTCACACCTTGATATCTTTCTTCAGCACCGGCTTTCCGTTGGATAAGGCTGAATCATATGCAAGACTAAAGAAGCCCTTTTGTATCAATGATCTCACTATGCAGCGTCTACTCTGGGACCGAAGACTAGTGCTTGCACTTCTCGATGCAATAGGAGTCCCGACTCCCCCAAGAATAATAGTTAACAGGGATCGATGTAAAGTGGATCCTAGTGTTATCGAGAAGATCAAAATAGCAACAGGTGTCGAAATTGATTTGGATAGCTTTTGTGAGATTGGGAACAATCATGTCGAGATTGTTGACGAAGACACTGTAAGGATTGGGGGACAGATTTTGAAAAAGCCATTTGTCGAGAAGCCAGTCGATGCTGATGATCACAATGTGTACATATATTATTCAAAAGAGATGGGAGGAGGTGGTAGAAGATTATTTAGAAAGGTAAGCTATCGGGTAAACATAGAGCGAATCGAACTACTTGTTTTACTTAAAGCATATGTAATTTGGACTTGGTTGTATAGAAAGGATGCGTGTACAAACTACCTGTTGCGTTCCACACACTTCTTTATTGAACCCACACCTTCTACTTATTAATACATATGCCAACTCTAATTTCAGGTAAACAACAAGTCGAGCGATTTTGATCAGACCCTGACCACTCCGCGTACATCCGGTTCATACATATACGAGGCATATCTTCCACCCGATAATTCTTCGGATGTGAAAGTATACACCGTTGGCCCCGGATATGCTCATGCAGAAGCTCGCAAATCGCCTACTGTTGATGGGCGAGTAGACCGTTGTAAAGATGGTAAAGAAGTCAGATATGTCACACAATTGACAGAAGAGGAGAAAGAAATTTCTGGAAGGATTGTTAAAATCTTTGCACAATGGATTTGTGGATTTGACTTGTTGAGAGTAAAAGAGAAAAGTTATGTCATTGATGTAAATGGATGGTCCTTTGTCAAAGGATCTGAAAATTATTATGAAGACTGTGCTAGGTTGATACGAAATTTGGTTTTGGAAAGAGGTATGAAGGACGAACTGCAAAACTGTAACGATAAATGTACCGCCGATGCAGCAGACGAGGCTGACGCCTTAACCAAAAACGATACTGTCGAGGACTCGGATACACTGATCGAACAAGACACGTCATTAGCTGAACGTTCCAACTTGTCATATGCTTTTGTTCTTTCGCCTATTTCAAATTTTATCCATATCATCACTACCAATGGGGTTTCTTCCCTTCTTCTCCAAGCGAAGCAATCTTTGTCTACTGTGTTGAACTTTACAATTGAAGCCGTAAAACGACGATATGACTATGTCATAAAAGTGATCCAACTCGATGCGTTTATTTCGAAATGGGCGACTACTGTTGATTCAGCGGCTACGCAGAACGATGAAACAACAGAGGTTATGCCGTTTGAAAATTCTGTTAATCATGATGAACGTGAAAGTTTTGCCAGCCATAAAGTGGAGAATGTTGAGTCGGTTGAAAATGCCGAGATGAATGTGCATACACGAACATCTAGCTGCTGGGATGAGTGTTTTGAGATTGCGTTCAAGCGGGACCAGAATGACGCGTCATGGGAAGAGGAAGACGAAGGATCACATGGACAAGAAAGCATTGCTGATAATAGTGACGATGATGATAGAAGCGTTGATAGCAGGGATAGTGCGGACCATGATGTTAGTAGAGCAGATGACATAACTGGTAGTTCAAATGATGAATACTGCGAACATTCTCGGTTTGAAATGTATGAATCGCAAATTTCAGAGATATCACATCAAAAGTCCCCTCACATCACTTACTCGGACCATGACTATCAACATTATGACAATTGTCCAATAATCAACAAGTCATGGGGATAGGGTGCTCTGTGAGTTACTAAATTGACAAGTCTCTCAATAAGTTTCTATTTGGATTCGGTAATAATTTCACGGTTTATATGTGATTCTTGTAGTTTAGTTAATTACGAGGAATGAGGATCAAGTCGATTGAGGGATGAATTACTAAAGCAAAGCAAAAGACTATATTGAATAGAGATATGTGTTTATGCGCACATGATTTTTACTCGATACTCTGCGATGTTGCCTTTGCTCCTCTGATTTGAGAGTATATACACCAAAAAATTCATTATAGAAGAACAATCGGATTATCAGTATTTTTGCTTTTTCCCATGGAAAATGTACATAAACACTGTAGAACGGTAGATAATGAAACACTTGACAAAAAAAATGTAACATACATTCCCGAAATAAAAAAGCGGTTTTTTGCATAAGTCTACATTGGTATATTCAATAATTTTCGGCAGTAAATTTTCACTCGCATTTGGCGCAAGAATCTCACATGCCTACAATGAGTTTTGTTTGTTTGTTGTAGATTTAAAATTCCACTTGCTCGATTAGTGCCTAGCATTTTTAGCATTTTTATGACACCTGACTTTTGCTTTTCCGCTTATGGGGGGGAGGGGGAGCATCAATCAGGGGGGTAAAGTTTGAGATTTGACAACGAAACATGTCAGAGTTTCATTACACATTTTTGTATTCAGAGAAATATTGCGTATTTGCTTATCTTGCGTTTATTTGAGTAGTAATACTTATTCTACACAGATAACCTTGCAATGATAACGGTTATACGACAGAGTTCAAATCTTCTCATTTCGGGATCAATGTTTCTGGAAAATAAACAAACAACCCCCTTATCAACACCGCACCAATGGAATGTATCGATAAGAAAAATTTTTTAAGATTATTTGAACTTTGTAGTAGGGAAGATTAAGGGTTGGTTTTACGATTTGCCTGATTTTCAACAACCCCATCACTGATACTTTTCTATCTCTATACAAACATGGCATACAACAAATTTTATTACAGAACGATCAGCTCTACTTGTTACAATATTGTATGAGTAATAATATAGCGCTATTAAAACTGACATAAGTCAAATTCTGATTATTGTTATCGACATTCGGCGTTTGATACCACATGTGTCATTCACAACCTTACTCTTAACCGAACAAACAAAGGTCATTGCACACAGAATTGTCACAATCATTGTTGCAATGAGCCGGGTTGAACATGGGGGGGCTTTAATAATTACTATACATGCCATTATTCGTTCAATGTTGTCAGAACAACTCGTAGACATTATCAAGATTCAGCTTATGCAGTCTTTTAAAAAGTTGGTAAAAGCTTCCATTTAACGCAAGCTTGGCAAATTTTGTTATACGTGAAAATCATGCATGTCTCGCCCATTATTGTATCGTGCTATGCGCCATGCGTAAACGCCTTATTACTATTTTTAAAGTCTTGCCAATAAATGCATGATGGAGGTCACACGAACTAGTGTTGCAGATTAGATAAACGATGTGCCGTATTATTTCCCACATACAGCAACTGATGTTTTTGAAGAAAGCTTAGATAAGCGTTGTCATTAGAAAGAACCTTATGCGTTGTTGTAAATTACAGGCCCAATTGTGCCAAACTATTACTATTCCTATTTTGCCGTTAAGATTCTGTCCCCTCACGTTTCAGAAATCTTGTAGGGTTTTGATTCTTAAACACGAGTTTGATATAACATAAAAGAATTAACGTTCTTTTCTTGATCCGAACTTTTATTGTTACATAAGAGGCGTATGGCCCATATAAATCAATAACAAAAGGAATGTCTACACAATTATCCCGTATGCTATTCTTTAGAAGTCAGGCCATCATACCTTTTTTGGGTAATAATTCATAACCGATCACCTTAATATTAATTGAGTATTGTGATCCGTGTAACGAAACCTAATACGCTGATCTAGTAATAGGTCAAACAAAGTCTATAAAGAAAGAACAATAGGAACAAAAATGACAAAGAAAGCGAATCTTTTATTATCAGAACTCTGCCAGAGGAAACAAGGAGTTTGGATTACATCATGCATGGGCCATTGCCGTCGCATGTCAACCATCAATGATAAATAGCACGCGAGAGAATCCCACAGTTGACCTTGAACGGAAAATACCCCAGATATTCTTTCTTTTTTCTTCCCTTCCTCGTGCATACATAAATTATACATCCTCATATCACTTTCCGTCGACTAATATACTCCTGATATAACCGACACATCGACTAATATAGCCCACCTCTATTACGCTTTATAATACAATATGCCCGCTAACCTTAGTATAAAAGCGCTTCCTTTGGAGATTGTCAATTCAAAGCAAATTCTATCTCCATCGGCGCTACTACCTTCCGCTCACTTATTCATGTTAAAAGTAACAACCTTGGTATCTCCACCTATAAGCAAATTGTACAAGATAACCGTAGAACAGTCCAACCATCTCATGCAAAAATCGATACTTTTCCATGATTTGGCCACACAATACGCTAGCGTTGCATCACAGTCAGTTGCTACTGGCGAGCTTTCGGCTGAAGAAGAGCGGCAACTCGTAGAGGAGGCTCAAGGTCTACCCATGATTTACGTAGAAGCACCGGTTGAACGCGTTGAGATAATCGATGCATTGTTAGACTGGCTTTTCTCGTCTTGCGATGCTGACGATATCAATGAAACGCTGTCTTCGTCGCTGGCGTCGAAGATTCAATCTACCCACGATTTCTTCTCGTTGATCAACTTTGCTACTCTCTTGAACTTGTTCGAGCCTTATTGTAGCGCAGTCGATGAAATACTGGTTTATTATTACTTTGGCCTATCTACCGAGGACAGAAGAAATACGATTCTGGCTCATGATCAATTTATTGAAGGACTTCTCCCCGGTAGATTTGCGAGGAGGTTGGTCGAGGTGGTGGCAGAGGATGAAGCAATAGAAATTATCAAAGCGTTCTTTAGAGCAACATGCATCTATCGTGACGATCAAGAGGGGTACTTTGACGCATATGTATGTGATGAAGAGATGACGTTTGTTAGCGAGTCTGGTTTCGACTTGAAAAACTTTCCCAACGCACCCGTGTCTACTCACCAAGACCTTGTGAAAAAATCTATTGGCCGCGAAAGTGTTCCTAATACTCCATTCTCTCCATTTGATTATGCCGAGCCACCAACACCGTTGGGATCGGCGTATATGTGTATACCACCGGGGACTCCTGCAACCCCATCATCCCAGCGTATACGACCGAGGTCTATGACAGTTGGAGCAGCTACACCGAGGAGCCCCATGTTGCAGCATGTTCCTCCTAATACTCCGGCCACACCATTCTCGCTTTTGACCCCAACACCGACTAAAGGAGGTTTTGAAACTAACTCCTCGAAAGTTCCACCGAATACGCCTGCTTCTCCATCATTTAGTCAATCTGTTGGAAACCCGACAAGCCGGTCTTTTGATAACGTTTCCAGTGTGCCACCAAACATACTAAACGTACTTGAATCGGCTGGCTTATATGATAATCTATCTAATAATGTCTTGAAGACTTCCACGATGTGTCCAAATATCGTCGAGCATAGTGTCAAAGACAATAATGACGAAAACGATAACATTAACCATAACCATAACAATAACAATAACAATACCTACAACTACAATAATTCCTCACCTAGTATTTGTAATAATCTCCTATCACCGTCTTCACCTTATCTTCCTAGTGCACCACCAAATTCTCCCGCATCTCCTTCAAAATCGCGAACAGTGTCTGAAAATGACCAATTAAGTGTTCCGTCTATTCCTTTAAATAATTCTACTACTGGTATAGTGCAAGGAATGGACGGTAGCAATTCGTCCATTCGTCGCAGGATATTTGAATATGCACTGAGCAAAATGGGAACTCGTCGCTTCTTGTAATATAGTATGTTAAGATAGGTGATAAGTTTTTTAATAGACATCCAATGTCTCTTCTTAAAATCTGCTGATAGATTGTATAGAGCTACCTATTAATAAAGTAATCTTCTGTTTGATAACATGGAATAAGCGGAATTCTTACCACCATTGACATCATCTATGGATAGGGATAGGATATTACATATGCCAGAGTATAAAAGGCTGATTTAGCAGCAAATTTATCATATTTGGACTTACGGACTACCCAATAGGACTTGTCCCAATATAAAGATTAACTGTAGCAATCGATCATGAAAGGGTATTTTTTGCACGTCTCCAAGTTTCTCCCAGAGTTGGTTATTTTTGGACTAAGTACGACTGAAGAGCTAACATATTTATTCATCTTCACTAGTAATGACAGCCTACACGACTGCCATATTATCAATGAATGTCATACGCAATTGAATCTGATCATCGTTAGACAATAAGTTCTTATTTGAACAGAAATATCGTCTTCAGTATATCCGAATGGATTTCATTGTCCCTTAGTAAGTAAGCTCTTGCTCACAGCTGTCGATACATTCTTCCTCTCTTAATAATAAATCGGGACATTCAATGGCGCCTTTACTCTGTGTAGTAGTAGCGTTCTTTATTATCGGTACGTATGTTGGACTGACGTTAAAGGCGTTTATGTTGCTTTACTTGCTCGATCCAGTTTTTATATGTGTCCATAAATGTTGTGGTCGATGTGATTTATATTTAGCATAATACAATCCACATGCTTGTTACAATGAAAGACAAAAATTAGCATCTTTTTATAACATATCATCTTACACAAGGCATATGCAATTTCTTACCATTACAAAGTTTCTGCTCTGGTGTTTCCCCTGCTCTCCATCCAGGAGTATCACTCGTACCACAGTTATAACATGAAAGACCAGCTGCATTATTTAGAGATATAATCAGTATTATTAATGATGGTTCAATGACAATATTAACGAGTCATTTACCTGGATTATTGCCCCATCCACTTGTCTTCTTTTCGTGAGATTTCTTTGATTTAGGGTAGGGTACTACGCTGGTTGGCTCATATTCATTAAGAAAATATTGTGCCTCATTCTTCTCTAGAAATCTGCATGCATATATCAGACAGAAATCCGTTAGAGCATAATATCAAAGCTATTTCTTACAATACGATAAGCACTAATTTCAATACATCGCTCCTCGAATCCGGGCTTCCCAATAAACCAGAACAGTGACCATCGAAAGGAAATTAGTTATCCTTATCAAAATTATATCACGCTTCTTTTCACCATGCCTAATGCTTACCTTAAAAAATTCACCAGATGTTCAACCAGAGAAACAGCAGTAGCCTCATCAATATTAGTATGGGCAAGCAGCTGAGGAAGCTCGACTATAAATAAATAACCGGACAATCAGCTTTCTTAAAGCGGAACGATTTCACCATCCGCATACAAACCGTCTTACCAAATAATCTTAACAGATGTTCTGCACCATATATTTCAGAGTAAGTCTTATCTTCATATTTTGTCTTCATATCAGAGAGTTGTTGTCTCTCAGATGCATAAAGAAGCATGGTAGAAAGGACCTTTTCGAAATATACTTTTATACCGTTTGCTACCTCGGAGTGAATATCAGATCTAAACAGTGGCGAAAACGTTGTGTGTTTTTTTTTCGAATGTGTAAATGTTATGTCGAGAAAAGTCGATGCGCGCATAGAAACTTACCTTTCACCCTTGGCTATTGCGGCTTTTGACTTCTCATCGACATATTGATTCAAAATCTCAATTACCGTAGGCCGACGGGGCAATGGAACAAGCTATAATATCGGTATATGTTTATAATCAAAGTCAATACTAGTCAATGTGGACAAAGTACATCATTACAGCCAACGAAAACAAGCCACGCAGTCTCTCCACACAAACACACTCGTCACCAACCTCTCCACGTAGTATAATATGTTCCCAATCGTCAATCAGTTTAGCCTTGAGCGCCTCGGGAATAGATACTTGTAACTCTGGTCGGTTCAAAAACTCGGCTTCCTAAAACCAATCGGATCTCACGGTTAGGAACTGTCATCACTCCGCATCTCATGTAACCTACTAACGCCCTCGACACCCTTACCAGTTCTCTCTCTTCTGGCGTAAGATCGGTTCTTTTGTAATATACGCCCGTGGAATCTTTTTTTCCTTTGCTATCTTTAGCCATCGCATTATTCTCCTTGAATTCACCAAGATCATCCGGATCTTTCATCGTAACGTCGCCATCATTATCACTATGAATGTTTTTCTTTTCGAGTTTTGTTCTTTTAGTCTTTCTTTTTGTTTCTGATACTGTTGTGTCAGCAGATCTCTTTTGAGTGATTCTCTTTTGTAACACCTTGACCTCTTCCACCGCCTTGTCATCTAATTAAGTATGTAAAGTCAAGAGTGATTATTAATAAATTGACATCAAACAGACTGTTAGCACGTTATGGCGCATTTTACCTTACGAGATACCTTACCGCTTGTCTTATCAGTGCCTTTCTCGGATGGTTTTGAAGATGACTTTTTTTTGCCAACCATGCCAGCATTACCACCCGAAGGAGTATAAACTTTTTTTAATTGTCGTTGTCTTTCAAGATTTGCCTCGTTCCATTTAACAACCCTTGTCTCTGGTACCCATTCGTCCCACCTAAAAGGCGCAGGATCGACGAATGAGTAGTTAGTATCGACGAATGAGCAGTTAGTCTCGACAGAAAAACGCGTGAAACAAAGAAACTAGCATAAAAAGCAAAAAACATACGTGCTCTTCCAGCCTTTGTAGTGTATGTAATAATGAGGTCCATTCTCGTCGTCGGGAGAATCTCTCCCAACCCAATATTCTGCTTTCAACACCTGGAAAGACGCGTTAATTGGTGGAATGGAATGTAGAAAATAGAGTGCATTTGTTAGATATATATCTTCTTAAATACTCGCACTATGGCCACATTTGTGATCACACGTCAAATTTTTTCACCCTAAAAACATGCACCGTCCCACGAAAAAGGATTTCTCAGAACGTCAATATTACGTACTTTAGCTTCATATAGTAGTGGTCCGTGAAAGCAAAGCACTTGCTCATTATCAGCGAATGTTAGTTTGCCTCCAGCGGAATCGGGTGCAGCAGACATTGTTTTTGTCGTTCAGTTTAACTAATCTCAAAACAAACAACGTTGATTTACAAGAGAATTTGAGATATTTAACATGTGTCATGATTAGGTAACACAAATAACGGAACGGTAAAATGTGCGAAATATTCACCATCAGATTTTCCGGATAGCAAAATCATGGTTCCGAGTACTTTCGCTAATCTGGGATGCTATCGTTGAAGATTCTGTTCACCAAACTACAACATATAAGTACTAAATGCTTACACATGGTTACATAGAATTGAAAGACTTAAATCCAAGGCCAGTTACTTTCGCAGTGGTTGGTCCGACACGATCGCGAGTTTTGTTGTTTAAACGCAGAAGATTAATTCAACTAAAAAGCTATATATTGTTATGTAAAAGTGTTGTTTGAGACTAGAGCAATCGAATACGAGAGAAGTCAACACTGTGCATGTAGCTTTCTGCGGTTTCCCCTACTTTGATCTTAAACCCTCGAGTTAATTTTTAATTCGGTAGCCTATTATAGGTTGGGTATCAGTATTAGTATACTTCCACTCAAACTTGAGTATAAAAACTCTCTAATATAAATAGTGATAAAATATGAAATCGATTGTAAGCGAACGTTATGAGAACGTGTGAACAAAAACACTTCCTATAGTTAAAGCTAAAATCTTTGTAATTTCGCCAAGGTAATTATCTTAACGTGGAGTATAAATTTACTTCCATTTTACCATGCTAATACACTTAATATTAACTTGAAAAGTTGCGGAATTAACCAAAGATAAAATTCTTTGCAACAGAAACTTTACGTAATAGCAATGCAAATTACACATTGAATGTCAAGCATAGTATACTATATATTTCATCTTCATCAAGAACATAATTAATCTGTTCCCGTAACTGCCTCGTCTTGAATGCACTTTGCGTGGACTGAGATAATAAGTCTTACTTACCTGTTGACCCGAATGTGGATCTGTGCTAGCATTAATGCTACAATAATCAGTTTTATCTCTTGTTATTGCCCATCTACTAATTTCCTCTGTCGTTCCGCTAATTTGTAGTAATTTAGATGTTTTTTGTATTGTTTCAATAAATCCTTTGCTTCCTCTTCCTTACGACTGTAAGCCATTCCGAAAATGTTGGCACGTGCCACGTAAAGCCGTTCGTAGGCTAATTTGAATATAAGGCGTGCCATAACTTGCGAAACGCGTCATATTTTAATAATTTCAACGTGTTAATCATTTTCGAGACCTGCAATAAAATCACTATTATTATAGAGGCATATTGTGATCTCAATAATAAAAAGTTCTTTTATTAGTACGCGTTATGAAATATGGAGAAGATCAGAAAACAAACTTGAGTAAGGAAATATGGGCTGCATATTTTGTGTTAAGGGAAGGTGGCTCCCTTCACGGCGATTTACGGGTAATATCATGGTGCGAGCTGATACCAAAAATGGAATTCATTGACTTCGATTAGGCAATGCTAGTGAAGTAAAATATCCCTTCTCACTGAATTCAGATCTCCCTTGGCATGAACATGATAAGGATACATCAGAAAAATGCTTTCTAGATGTTTTGAATGTTAAACTAAATATAAAGTTTATTTGTAAATCAGTTTACAGCAGACTATGCAAATTTATAAAATTATATATAGGACACCTGTATATGAAAAATAGTGAATATAATGGTTCAGCTGAATATGAAAAGGCAATATTTTCTTGGAGTTAGGTAAATGATTCCAAGGGAAAAGTTTGTTGAATTACATGAGGCGTTTCAAGCTCTCTCTAGATCCGAACAAGATATATTTTTAATGGCCCAACTGAAAGCCATGAAATAACCGCCAGTCGACGTGGGTTTGGTTGATTTTTGGTCTTGAGAACGTGCATTTTTTTGGTAGGAGATATAGAAGTTGTGTATCTCGCATAGTATGCACAAGCTTGTACATATGGATTGGCTTGTGAACAATCTTGTTTGAATTCGAAAATTGCTAGTAGATAACAATTGTTCCGTTCTATAAAATAAACATCTAACGTAAGATATCCATTTGACTTCGTTTGTGAGAGATGTTATATAGTAAAAACACAAACATGGTATGTATTATTATCATTTGCAAAATTCGGATTAGATTTCAAGATATTAGCCAATTAAATTGCATAATACCACACCTGCATTACTGAACACGCGTCAAATCTCCACCAATGCATGTAACGTTTGTACAGATCTAATTATTCAACCCGTAATCTCCGAGTTGCTGTTTGCAAGGTTATAAACATTAAGCCATCCTTCAAATCCACCTTCACAGGACGTTCTTCGCTTATCCTGTCCAGCAAGACATAAATTAGCTAACACCCAAAACGTTCCCCATAGAAACCGTGTGCATGTTTTAGGAGAATCATGAACAAAAGGCTGTATGCTGTAGCGTTTTCCCAATACAACTATATTACAGCCCATACTACTCCGTCTACTCTACCCTATGTACATACTACTATATCTCCCCGACGCCGAGTCACAAAGTCGTTACCTGGTTGAGCAATACCATTAGACGTTATTATTATCACATTTTATTACGGTCCCCCGACAGAGTAATCAATCTTCAACGACAGTTCCTTAAGCACATCCTCCTTCTCCATCGCACATCTCGGATAAGTCAGAAAAATCTTCTTCGCTTGAAACCTAAATCCTCCCTGTCGTCGTGGCATGATTGGTTGTTGTTTATTAATTAGAAATCTTCGAAAGATATCGAACCAAGGTGGGAGGTGGACGATCGATCTATCGCAAGAAGGCGGTTATTAGATTTGGACGAAGGAGATTTGCGCCACGTTCTAGGTGGTACCGTAAGAAGCGTGTGTATGCTATATCGGCATTGAAGCATGAGGAGCCGTCGAAGTTTTATGTGAATATGTGGGCTGAAGATATGTCCAGCCGGTCCCTAATAATAAACTACATTTGTCAGCCTCTTGCACATGCGCCTCCAGCCTCTCTTACCTCTAGCCGAGTCTTCTCCCATCTTGACTGCTGCGTCTCCGTTCACCAGCCTCAGTCTCAGCGTCTCCAGAAGTTTCCCCTGTGCTTGGCTTTCTTTAAGCTCCTTCACTTGCACGTCTTCTAACTCTCGCTCAACTTTTTCAATACTCGTCATTTTCAAAATGTTTGATGGGAAGATGTGCTGCGCTGCGCGATGAGATTATTATTATTATACGCTGGTTTTTTGCACATGTTTCCCTTTTCATACAATACGGTAATGGTTTGCTGCAAACCATTATTATCATATTCTAACTCGAGTAGTATATAGAGAATTGTCTCGATTATTGATTGTAATGCAAGGATAATGAAAGAACAGCTATTTGCTTATGCTTCTAGTTTTCGCTTTTTTCTTGGTTCATCATAAGTTGAGGTTAATGTTCGCGTTCTTCTCATAAATAAATTTTCCTTGATCTAGATATTCCCGGAGAGTTTGATTTTAAAACCGGAGCAATTCTTTCTCCTTGAGCTTTTTTTAGAATGCTTCGAATAGTGCTGCAATTCTTGGGTTCGATAGTTGGTTTAATGTAGATTAGTTTCACATATTAATATTTGATTTTTATATAGAGGTAGTGCTATATTAATCACATTATGGTCACATTCTATGATAAAATTATTAGTCTAGTTAACTTTCAGCCACACAAGCCTCATTTCAGAATGTTCACTTACTGAACTTGATAAACCAGAAAGCGTGCATATGTGGACAGTTTGCTATCGGCTTTTTACAGAACATAGTCTGAAGGACAAATGTGCTATCACTATAAAAACTCGGGACGCGATTAGAATTGTGTTTATTAATATACATCTTAATTGTTTTAATGCAAAATCTGTTATCTGGGATTTATTCAATCACCTTTTGACTGGTACTAGGTTTGGTTTTATACTATAACGTAGCCACTTGGTGCTAACCTCGATGATAGCGAATACGCGTGTGATTTTTTTTTATTTGCATATATAGCTAACGGATATAACGCGATGATTGTCAGTGATCACAATACGATTAAAGGCGGTCTGGAGGCCAAGGAAATAGCAGAGACGAAATATAACGACTCTATCATTATCATCCCTGCCGTTGAATACAGGTATGTGTGTTTGGTTAAAAATTGCTATATATGTCATTCTCGTTGTTATTCTCGTGTTTATAACACTCGTTTTTTTCGTCTTTCTAGTATCTGTTAATCACATTCCTTGGAGTAACAAGACCGGTATGCCAAGGAGAGTTGGAGATAATGCTAAGTTGGAAAGTGTAGTGTACGTGTGAATATTGAAGCGATGAAAAGCATGAGTGATGAAGTCTTATGTATTTCTTCATAAAATACGGATATGAAATGGCAACACTTCCAAATCATCCGACACGCGAACAGTTAATTGAGTGGGTAAATGATTATCTTTCTTTTCCTGCGTGTTTTCTTTACTGAACTTATTTTCATAATACGATTTTTTGCAATCGAAATCGAACATTCGATGCCTTCGAAGTAATCAACGGAGGAACATTCGATATGCAGACCTATCTCTATGTCTCTTCGTTGTCGCATCGTTTTTTTTTTTAAAACAGGAACAGATTTGCATTACCCGACTACCCCAGCTTATGCCTGGACCCCCCTTTCAATACCATCTTTCAGTAGTGAATCCTATATACTATGCTTTCCTTCTGATTATGAAATTAGCCGGTTATTGGACAAGTTTTTATGAAGAGAACCGAGGACTGTACTCATTCAGAGGGAGCTTTTGTCGTGAAAGAAAGGTGGTTCTGCATCGGGAGAGTTATGTGACATTCGCAGTGATGTGTCTTTGTGTGTTGCTGTGGATTGAATTTGTTTTATGGGCAGTTAAATTTACAGGCGAGAAGCTTAAGGGATGACGTTTGTGGGGACGAAACCGGAGATGAGTTTAGTGAAGCGGAAGAATACTAGTAGAGAGAACTTATTGATGTTTTGTACATAGCCGGAAAAATAGTATGCGTAATTGGGAGTAACATGGTCTTTTATACATATACATTGTTATGTAATATGTGCCAATTCTACAAGTACAAGTCTTGTCTAAAAGCGGTTAAAGAAACTTTCACATTTCAAAGATGCATTAATCCTATTTGAGTTAGTTTAACGTAATGTCGACTATCTTGGGACGTTTAGACGATCGCATTCAATAGTTGGTACAAGCAAATACTTTGATAATCGTCAGTCCTGCAAATCTCACTAACCAGTCAAAGTATGTGATTAACTCTGTGCTTTATAAAACGGTTTAAACGGGTTTTACACAATCCTCTTTTGACAGCCGCCCAGCTCACTAGTCTAGTTGATATGATTATTTCAATTTGTAAGAGTATCGGTATATTAATTACATTTTGTTCAATCAATTAAAGTCAATTCTTTTTTCCTATCTTTAGCGTATGTGTCTTTGTAAGTATTCCATATACGAAACAATTCATCGATGTATTTTTGTTGAACTATCCTGAGTTCTTCTTCGCTTGGGTTATCTTTCTGTGTAACTTCTATTGGCTTCCCAACTGTATGAAAAGCAGAGATTGAGAGTGAACAACGGCAGTTGATAATGATTACATTCCAAGGACATTTCATACTTACCAATTGTTGTAATAGGTCTTCGGTGTGGCATTAATCCTACGTTGTCTATAGTTATGTATATGCGCAGAGTCAGTATAAAAAGCGTTTCAAGTTACTGGTCTCTCAAATACAGATAAAACTCCGCTTACAATTAAAAAGGCCGCGTCCATGGAAGAGTGGAAGTGTGAACCCAAGTAATTGCTGCATTTTTTTCTGCAACTTCCACACAACGCCACCTTGCTCGTTATCAACTTGCTCCCAAATGTCATTTTCACCGAATGAAAATACGGGAACAAGACAGGCTCTGTTAAAGCAAAGGTTCGTTTTACACGTTCGCGTAAGAATCACATGTCATCGGTGTCAATGATTACAGAAATCTCTGGCTACGTACCCATTTTGCACAGCAAGTTTGACGAATCCTAATCTCTTCTTCAGTGTCAAATCGTACACTCCGGGACGCGCGTTTAAACTTTCTGCTGCGCCACCGACGACTATCATGATCGAATGTCCTGGTCCCATTCTCAATATATTCTGGCAAGACGTCCGAGACACTGAAGCTACTCCCTGAGACATCACATGATCTCGATACAAAGGAATGCTAAAATTACTCGACAACGTCAAGAGACGAACGATTATGCCAGGGAACAATTTAGAAAAGTCATTTGCTTCGGTTGCAAAGTTGGTCCATGCTCCGACTGCGATCACACCATGTGGATGATAACCTTGTTGTTTAAACAGTGGTGAATTAGGTTTACAAATAAGTTATTTTTTACAAGCGATAGCAGAGCTTTGTCAAAATACCAAATATGTAATTCTTGGACGAATCTAAATCGGCTTCCTGTTCAAATGAAAACAATGTAATTCACAAGATTCAAGCACACAGAAAAAGAATAGCGAGTAGGATCTTCGCTCACACCTTGATTAAACGAATCGGAAAGTAATCTGCGTACCACTTCCAGAATCGTGCCTTTCGTGCCCACTCTAATCGCCTCCCTCCATTCTCAGGCGCAATGTCGAATAATAAGAACAATAAATATGTGATAATAAACGGCCAGAAGAACGGGACTGTACACATGAAGAAGAATACAAATAATGTGACTGGTAGTGATATCAGCCATAAAAAGACCACAGCCGTCTGGCGTCGCCTTTCGAATGGAACGTCTAAAGGTGCGAAGAGGATATTAAATTTCATTCTTTATGTGTAACTATGAGGTGGGGATAAAACAAGGGGGGAAGGGGGGGACTGTTTCTTGGTTAGTATAGTTGTATGAAGCGCATATAAGCACGACGCGTTCATATTACACGCTTCTGAAATAGTTAGGTGGTGATAACTTTTACAGAATTGCTCACGCTGGACGAGGGGAAAGGACAACGAATTCAACAGATCGCACCACCGCAACGTTATAGGCATACCGGAAATATAATTTCTATTCACTAAGTATATTGTGAAGTAGCACAGTCTTCGAGTAATAGGCTTTTTTTTTTCCCCGAAATAAAAAATGAGGGAGAAGAGGGGCTTCAAGTGTCAGTGCGTTTTATAATTTCTTTTTTGACAAGAGGTAGATCCGTGAGTACTTTTGACATTGATAGAGTCTTCACACGACTTTTATTTAAATGATATCGGAATGGGGCGGTGTGTTCGACAGCAAATAATAACAAAGATTGACGTTTCGCATATTTTCAGCGAATCTCGTCTAATATGGCATGTGGCGACATGACGACAATGATCATTGTGTCATGTAAGGGATTCTTTTCATGACCATTTTCAAAAAATAAATCGTTTTCGGATATTTCCCTTACCTATGAGCCACGACATTTTAGTTACGCTTATCATTGTTATCACCATAATTATTATTATAAAACTTTCCCATTATGCGATATCGATAATTACTTGATTGCCACAGAAGAACAAGCTCGTTAGAATGATTGAACCAGTTTGCACTTCGGTCCGATTTTTTACCGTCAATTTGTCACATGATATTACATTCACTATTCATGTTATCTCTCTCCCGAGGTCTATCTTTCTTAACAATACTTACCTATTCCCCATTCTGATCGAGTGGTATGCACATGTCCATCCAACAGTATTTCTATTTTCCATTAAAAATGTCACTTGCGAGTAATCGTATTGACCCGGTATCATCTGAAAAAGTTGAATGACGATGGATATGCAGGTGAGGAGACAGCGAATTGTGGAGCGAGTTTGGAGAATGCGATCGTGGTTGGAGAAGAGGAAAGTAATCTGGCGAGCGCGTAGTAGACATTTAGTTCTGCCAGTCTGGAAGATTGCATGATCAGTAATCAATCTGTTGCACAACCTAATAATAAAATAAAACGACAAGGACGAATTCCCTCTCGCTATTTGTAGAACTAAAATTAGACCCGTTGTAGATCAAAAGACAAAAACGGTAGACGCGAATTAAAACTAGCTTAGAAATTGTGGGAAAAACAAAGAACTTAATTACTGTATAATTGAATTAAGCTTTTGTCTGTGGAACTTCTCGTTAAAGCAGGATTGTTGGCAATCTGGTTTAGTGAAACGACCATTTCTTCCTCTACAAAAAAGTTATCAGCAATAAATCTAGCAACAATTCATAACAGCGTTTATTTTAAGTGATAACGGCAAAACCATCCACCGTTTATTATAAGCGAGTTTTCTGGGTCTGAGGCACACGTTGAATTCATCACATAATTCTGCCAAGCGCCCTCACTGTCTCTCAGTTCACCAAAAAAAGACTTCTAATGGTGGTGCAGCGTCTGACATTCATCACCCATCGTTAGCTACTTCACGTAAATGGCTCTTACTTCCTTAATGCCTCCCTTCCCATTCCATCTTCCTTATCTATGATCCTTCTATCAGTTACAACTCTTTCCACTACCACGTATTCTTTCTTTTCTACTGTCTTGACATAATACATCTATGAATTATCATATATGGAATACTTTTCTTTACCCAAATTGGTTGAAGTAGGATTGTATTCCGTTCAAAGCGTGCTCGACACATTACGCTAAAATATAGAATTAACACAAGTTTAGTTTCCTTTGTTCGTGTAACCTCTTTTAGAAATAATAGAGACGGCGAAAACATTAAAAAATAAATCTTAATGACTGTGTGAACAGAGTTTGTTATTACTGTACTTGAAGAAAAACATGTTGCATATAAATTAATCAACGATATCTAATCAATTAAAAGACCAACTCGATATCTTCCTCCCGACTATTTTTCCGACTCGTATTCCTCCGCTTTATTAAACTCATCTATTACTATAGTCAACGTCCGGTTTCGCCACCACAGCCGTCCCCACAACCGTCCCCACAACCGTCTCCATTTCAATTTCTTAAGCTTCTCGCCCGCAAATTTAACTGTCCACAAGACAAATTCAATCCACAACAACATACAAAGACACATCACTGCGAATGTCACATAACTCTCCCGATGCAAAACCACCTTCCTTTCATGACAAAAGCTTCCCATGAATGAGTACATTCCTCGGCTCTCTTCATAAAAACTTGTCCAGTAATCGGCTAGTTCCATAAGCGGAAGTAAAGCGTAGTATGACGATCGTTCAGGTGGATAAGATATAAAGCGCGTGCCGGCCGGGTCGAAAAGAAACGATGTCGATGGGCGGGAACGAAGAGTTGTAAAAAGGGATTCGCTGGTGAAGGACGGTGTTGAAAGAAGCGTCCAGGCGTAAGCTGGGGTATTCGGGTAGTGCAGATCTGTTCCCGATAAAAAAAATAATGGAGGAGAATGCGACAAGGAGGAGACATACAGATAGGTTTGCATGTCGAATGTTCCGCCGTTGATTAGTTCAAAGGCATCTACTCCCTAAAAGTTTCGATTTCGATCGTATTATGATATGACCGCGGAATGCACAAGTTCAGTATGGTCGTGTAAAGAAAACGCGCAAAGGGAGAAAAAGAAAGATAATCAACTTACCCACTCAACCAACTGTTCGCGTGTCGGATGATTTGGTAGTGTCGCCACTTCATATCCGCTTTCTATAAAATACACAAGACTTTATCACTCTTATGTCACTATTTTAACCATACTTTTATCGTTTCAATCTCCAACTCTCCCTCGCATACCAGTCTTGTTACTCCACGGAATGTGATTAACAGATACTAGCCCACCCAACTCGTGCGTTAGATCAATAATCTGCTTTATTTCATCGTCAGACGGTTCAGCTGAGCCATATGGGATGTCTTGTGTTAAGCCAATTAGGTTCATATGGATACGACAATTGCTTGCATGTTTGAATGAGGAAGAAGAGAGAGGGGAAGAGACGAAAAAAAAAACGAAAATGTGTTATAAACATGAGATAACAACGAGAATAACATATATAGCAATTTTTAACCAAACACTCATACCTGTACTCAACGGCAGGGATGATAATGATAGAGTCGTTATATTTCGTCTCTGCTATTTCTTTGGCCTCCAGACCGCCTTTAATCGTATTGTGATCACTGACAATCATCGCGTTATATCCGTTAGCTATATGCAAATAAAAAAAAATCAGACAAAAAATACACACGTATTCGCTATCATCAAGGCTAAATTATCTTCTCTCGAGGTATATCTTTCTTAATAATACTCACCTATTCCCCATTGAATAACCTGTTCTGGACTCAATTTTCCATCTGATCGAGTGGTATGCACATGTCCATCCAACAATATTTCCACTCCCCCACTGTCGTTATGCGTACCGATCGATCCATTCATCGGGATCAAATATCCTCTTGGATCTATTTTCCAATCAAATGTCACTTGCGAGTAATCGTATTGATCCGGTATCATCTTGTATTTGATTATAGTAACCATAACCAATATCGGTATTAAACAAATACAAAACAACATCAAATGATAGAAAAACGCAATAAGGCATTTTGAAAGAGATATACGAGGAAGACGCATTAAGACTCTTGAAAATTTGAATGACGATGTATATGCAGGTAAAGTGGGTGACGGAGGCGGCGAATCGTGGAGCGACATAGTCGAGTTTGGAGAAAGCAGTCGTTACGGAGTAATCTGGCGAATAGACATTTTGGTTCTGAAAGGTCACAACGATTGATCAGTTGTCGCACAAAGCTTTTCCGGACAATTCCCTTTCGCTGTCTGTAGAACTAAAAATCAGACCCTTTGTGGATCAAAAAGACACGGAAACAGTAGACGCGAGTTAATGCTAGATTCAGCTGTGGAAAATGTTCAAACATTTCAAACACAAGGAAGATTGTGTAAAATGTAGTGGATTTCTGTTATCATGGTTCTTTGTGGATTGATTGACAATCGATAGTTCGATCGAGTAAAGGCATATCCAATCAGACATACTTAATGTGTCACAGAATTTATTTAGGATTATCGTTATTATTATACCAAAAATGGATAACGTTTGATCGCTACTTTTGTGTCATAAAACCGTCGATCAGAATATTCTCGAAAATTTATTTCATGTGACGTAATATACTAATGCGTTTATTATTATTATATACCAAAACTTCACAGCCGAGAATATATCAACACTGTCATGGCTGTCAAATTCACTATCTCATTTCGCCTTCGAGATTTTATATTAGCATACCTCTTCCGAAGACTCTCACTCATCTGTTCGAGAAGAGTTTCTATCAGAGGTTCGATATCCGTATACTAACACAAGCGGCTTGTGTACGCGCTTATTCTGCTCTCAATATCGAGAAGCTCATTGCTTCATAAGAATTCAGCGTTCATATTACAATATCATCATACGCTTTCTGTATAGTCTTTTAAATCTACAATACCCTTTCTTTGATCAACTTGCAAACACAAGCATATGGGTAATGACTTTGTGACTTAATACTGGATTGAAACAATAAATAATTGTATGATAAGCGATACATTGTGTGATATCTGCTATGTATAGTAATTCTGATAATGATAATCGTATGAAGCTTATCATTAAGGGAAGCTCAACAGAAGTGTAACGTAGTTGTCACAAAACAAGTATATAAACGACTATTTACTATGATTGAGAAATATGTCAATTGGATATTTTTACCAAATTACAAATATAACATTATAAAGCGTTAAGCCTTCTTGTCTGGGGTAAATAACTCATCTATCATGTTTGGGGGTGTAATCCGCCACAATAAGTTGCGTTTTTTTTGTGGGATGGCTAAAGCGGAGTAGAACGTACAAATTGTGGTCTGACGTACATTATATTACGTACTGCAAATTATATATAACAATATGAACGATATAAACTCCGTTCACCAAGGAAGAAATAATAACCAATGAAAATATTTGAGAAGTTCAGGTGATGAAAGTATTAGTATTAATATACTGTATATTAATATCTAAGCCACATTCGTGAGAATTAATGAACAATGGAAAAGATGAGTAGATACCATATTTGTTTTAATTATCTATTTTTAATACAGTAATAATAACGAACGCTTGCCAAGATAGATCATCTAACTTTTCTCATTCCTTTTCTCATCCTTTGCTCTTTTACATTCCTCTATACTACTACTACCGGTTCATAAATTATTTAATATTCAAGGTAAACCTTTACATAACACCTAACATTCTATTGTTTCAATCATTTCTTTTCAAACTAATATAATATATATAATAATCAGGATGAAAAGCTATAACAAACAAGGAAGAGAATTCGATAATACCATCAAGAAACTTTTGAGGAAGAAGGGGGTGAAAGTTCGTCGCTATGAGTGAGTATCTCACTGAATATTTGCTAAGTGGTTATTGAATCCGAAGGCATGCTGCCACTAGGTGTTTTCGAAAGCGCTCGTGGCCGCAGCTTGCGAAAGTCGCCAGTCAGGTACCCAGTCCTGACGTATGGTGGACGGCCTGCTGCGAACGTTCTTCAAATGGTTAATAACTATGATAATGCAGTTACTCACATTTTATACCTATAGGCACGAACCAAGTGGCGGCGGTGTTGACTTGAGCGGGTGGTTCAGGAATCTTTTTATTGCAATCCAGTGCAAGGTAACTATTACTATCGCCATTTAATTATATTTTTATTTAAGAGATTAAATCCTTATTTATACTATAGTGGGGGAGATGGATTGCATACAAAGATATACAGCGCTTTGAAGGCGCCTTATCAGGCGTCAATAAAGAAGTTACTGTTGCAATTATGGTAGCCCGATCGAAGAAAGGGTATACCAAAAATGCAATAGATAGAGCAAACAGAGCCAAACAATCAGCCGGATATAACATCATCTTAACAGATGAGAAAGATTTATATTCGGACTTGATTGAATACATCGAGTCAAATGGACTTGATGGCTCTAACAAAGCATTGAAAGAAGAGTTAAAAGAAATTCATTTAGAAGCTCAGCGATTAGGCACTGAACTTCAGCAATTAAGATCAGAAATTGCTGAACTTCGAGATCTTGTAGCCTCTTATTTAAATAAATAAGAATAAAATATTATTAGTCTTTCGATGTTTTTGTATAATAATAATAATAATAATAATAATAATAATAATAATAATAATAATAAATAAATATTACTCCCTTATTATTATAACTGAAGTTCGAGAACAACATGAATACATGATATGATATGGAATAAGAATGATATAATTACAAAATACTCATACTCATAATAATAATAATAACAACAATTATGAGTTATAACTATATTAATATCAAATATGTGTATCCCGGTTTTTCCTCTAATGTTGATCGCAGCCCAAACGTGAGCTTTAAATGAATGCTTAACCATAGGCTGAACTGGTTTTTTTCCGCGTGACCATGTATGGATCGTAGTCTCATAGAAAAAACTACTTTGTTCCAATTGTAATGCAAATAATTACGTGCCCAAGTTAAGCGATTAACATTCGCTTGCTGGGTTAAAACGGGCACTCTTCGCGGAAGAACTGAAGTATAACCAAGTGTATTAAGGTTACGGCGAAAAGTGCGTTCACTGACAACTAACTCTGAGTGTTTTGTTTCCAGCATAGTCTTCAATTCCTTAGATGTCGTGAAATGGTTATGTTTAATGATCATTCCAATCTGGCGACGTTGTTTAGGAGATAATTTTTGTGGGCGACCAGTTCGATAAATGGTCGGAATTTTGCCATTTTTCCGAAGAAAATGGACATAACGTTCACAGGAACGCAAGGGAATTTTCGAAAATTTTTTTGCATTACGGATGTTTTGCTTCCAAACAAGTTTACGGTTTGTTTTAATAGGTGTAGGCGTCATTTAAAACTTAAAACGAGTGTAAAGTCAAGCTGTACATTTGTGTTCATAGTAAACAAACTTCCAAAACGCGACACGGTGATGCTATCAACAAAAAACAAAGTCGCGTACCTACCGCCATTACTTTCGTCCAGCACTGTACTACGAAAACACTATATAAATACATGGATTTTCTCTGTTTGTATTTGATCCTTTTTTTTCTCCTCAGGTGCTTGTATTTGATTCATAACTAGTCACCAACAACGTATACCGAAAAATGTCAGAAGGTATTTTATTTTCGTAACTACCGTAATCTGCCGAATACCCCGGATACATTGTACGGTAAAATTACATTACGAATTACTTCGCTGATATCAGTATTGCGTGTGTTTATGTTCGATGACGTCACAATTAACGTAAATTATGTATAGACGCGTTGTAATGGCTAAATTTTTCTTTATTTTTATTGCCTTACTTAACAAGGTAAGCACTATCGCTATTGCAAAGCATTATTTGGCTTGCAAAAAAATAATCATTATATACCTAATAATGGCAGGTTTAAACAAAAATATGGGGTTCAGAGACTCGCTTTCATACTTGAATAATAAGATTTATGTTATTGTGATGGGTTCGAACACCGAACTAAGAATACAAGCACAAGCTGGAGGAATAGCTAGGCTGTACTAGTGACTAGCAGACCTGGCTTCATCCAAATCGATCAAATGTTCACAAGAAACACCTTCCAGCGATCAAGTATTAACTGCGCCTTTCTTTTTTTCATCAAATCGAAGCTAGAATTATCGGACGTAATGGTTTTCAGGTCCTTCTTCATACGGTCATAAATTTTTTGATTGGATCCATCTTCGTGACCGGTAATGTTCAAAGATATTGCTTCTGGTCCACTCTGATAGGCGTGAGTATGTAAAAATTCCTCGTTACGGCAAAGCATACTTTTTTTCCGTGTTCCACAGCTGCTGCAGATCGCCACAATCACCACGAGCGCCACCCAAATTTGGTATCATGTGAATAGAGATGATACGTGGAATGACAGAAAAGTTTTGATCGTGGATTTTTATCTTGACAAGTGCCGGTCTCACTTAAAAGTAAAGATAAGGATTCGAAGCTTGAGCTTCTGGGAAACAAGTAAAAAAAAAGTTGGTGCGAATTGACATGTTAGTTGTTGAGTAGCTTTTATTTTTTCCTGGCACACTAAACAATTGGAAAAAAATTCGATTTAAACATAAATTTCAAAAATTCGTCTCCAGTCTTCTATGCAATTCTTGCAAACTTTTTATTATTATTCTTATATTCTCTAAACCACCGTTAGAGATTACGCAAATTGTGATCGGAATTGTGACGAGATCATTATGCGCATAAAAACTCGCGCGACGCGGATTTTGCCGATCTAATACCACGATCCATGCAAGTTCTATGCAATTTCTAAAAAATTGTTTGAACAAACAAAAGGAAAAAACGATTATGTAAATTGCTTAGAAAAGTATGGAGATGGAATTTATAAAAATAATGTTATAATGCATATGCTCCTAGGATATTTAAAAGCTTATCCACAACGCCATAGCTGCGGAATCGAATCATGTGATCTGGAAAATTTTTTATTTCTTTCATGTGCGAAATCACATGGTCGGGCTGATCAATAATAAAGGAATACCCGTATATTATTATAATATGAAAATTTATAATTATAATGGGGTTTCATCGAATACGAAAAGGCAATGCGTTTCTTGGAGATAGGTTGCAAATGTGATTGCGCAAAAATGATTCCGAGAGCAAGGTTTGCTGAACTACGTGAAGTGTTTCAAACCCGAACAAGATATATTTTTAATGACCCAGATGAAAGCGATGAATGGTGGAGAAATAGGGTGACGTATCCTTTTACTGTGAAAACCGCCAGTGCCACCAGAATCTCAAGGATCAGCGATGGGAATTATAACGGTGGTACCAAGAGTAACGGTTGTACCAGAAGCGGTTGTACCGGAAGCGCGTCGTACTAATTTCAAGAGATGTTGCACCGGAAGCGCTGGACAGAAGCGCTGGATAGCACAGCACAGTACGGCAGCAAAGAGAGAGTAGTGATAAATTAGAGAGTAATTATTAATTAGCCAATAGAATTTTATCCGATGCTAAAAATAGATTAATTAGTCAGTCCAAAAGATATAAAAGCAGCGTAGGATAGACTTAGCATCGGTGTGTCCAAGTTAGTGTTCAGTGTTCGCGATGTTCGAGATCTAACATTTATTCCTTTATATCGAAGACGTTCGATTTCCTTTTTCTTATTAATAAACGAGTATCCATTTACTCTGAAACGAAAATTCTTTCCCCGAATATTCCGTTATATTTTTAAAGCATTAATCCGTATAACGGCAAGATCGGTCATAATACTTGTCTCGTGATCGATCGAGTGGCATTAGGATAGTTAATTATTATTTCTCAACGCGTTAATTTCTTATTAAGACCCCGACCTACAGACTACCGAATTAATCCTAGAGAGTAGTTTTGTTACTCGAGTATAGTTAACTATCTAGGATTAGTGTGTGCAATCCGTATACGAATACGTCAGCACTGAAAAGCCTAAGTGAAAGGTCACTAACTGTTTGTTACGATTTAGTATCGCTGAGGTAAGCCACACTCCTACGACGGCGCAGCTAGATCCCAAACCGAGACAGTAGTTATCCGCCTATTGCCTCGACAACAGCTAGTACATTAATGTGACTAAACTGAATCAACAAAGAAACTTGGCCTAGTGCCTGGTATTTATGTAGTAGTTAATTAATGTTAATATTAATATTAAGTAATTTACGTTAGCCGATATAACTTGGCTTTTGATTTATCACCTTTTTCTTATTCCATTGATAGAGAAAAGAAAAGGAAGCATTGACGAGAAGGTACAGTATTTTCCAATAATGTATTATTAATTTTATATTACATTTGTTTATTATTATATGAAGATAGGCATATTACAGCTGTCAGTAAACCGTTTATTATTATCTCAACAAGTTTACACTTTGACACCAAATTAATACAAGAGTAAAATGCAATAAAACTTATCGATGAATTCAGACATTAATATGGACTACAGCTGTGGACAAAATCAATTCCAAAAAGAATCTGTCACTCTTCAGCTACATTAGCAATTTAAAACTCACATCGTCAAATGTTCACTTTGCCCCAGGCATATTAAAATACACTATATGGTAAGATTTTTATATTAATATCTCGTTATGTAGAAACCAGTTGGACTTTTGCCTTCATTATAAAGAGAGCCACTGTGTACATATGAGGCATTTCTTGATTATCACTCATCCCTCTACAGTTTGAGTTATGTGAGCGAAAAGAATTTTAGCTTCATTGTAAAAAAATTACTGCACAGTACAAAAAGCTTTGAATCGCTTGCACTAGAAGGTTACAAAACTTCTCATAAAAAGTCAAAATTTGTTGGCAAGCTGGTTTAGAAACGAATAACAAGACACAACTTTTCCTCTACGAAAAAGTTATCAGGAATAAATCTAGCGTGTCTCTATTGTCCAATTCATAACTGCGTTTATTAAGTAATACACAGTGAACCTGGATATAACGACAAAATTTCCTGGATATAACGAAAACCTGTGAAGAAAAATGGCAGAACGGAGGCACTTCATTATATCCAGGATCACTGTGTATACAATAATAATCAAACGATGTTTACGTACTAAAAGAGGACGTCAGTCAAGCCGGATTATTCGCACAGATATGAGATCATTGATTCCGCAGAAAAAACAAACTCGTCAAGAAGAGACAGTATAGCCTGGAGAGAATCTGCTAAATTATCTACATACCGTTGATTTAGTAATCCTCGTCAGCGTGTCCTAAGAAATTTAAGCTGTGCCTACAGTTGGAAACCTAACCTCGAACTTTTTCTGTGGTATGAATAGTTAATGACTAGTAGTAATCGTTACGTTTTCGTAACGCATGGAAAATTCTGTAATACGTCGTTGCGTACGAGTAGAATTATCAGATTGTTAATTTCCCCACGACGGAATACTGGAAGACGCATTCGGAATTGTTTGCTGCTGGAAAGAGAACAATGTCAATACATGTAATAATGGTAATAATAAGTTAGTGGATAATATGTGTCACGTTGTTACTAAACATATTAATAAAATCAGCACTTTCCGAAGATCCCATCGTCTACCATAATAATAAGGGAGTTTTCCTGGATCTAGGCACATGTCGAATTCGAATGATCATTATTTGTACTTAATATTAATATTAAAGATTATTATTTTATTTTGCCATGCGAGTTCAAAGCAAACTTAACGAAGATTAAAAAAAAAATACATGCAATTCAATATACAACTTATATTACTACTGTTGTGTTTTGTTAATAAATTTTACCAAGCGCCTCACCGTCTCAGTTTATCGTTCTCATCCACTGAATGCCAAAAAGGACTCTCAACAGCCTCAGGCGTAGACTTGTTGGTTCCAGCGGATGGTATTCTGATCGGCGTTTTTGTGACGTCTGGCCATTCATCATCACTAGTATCATCGCTAACTACCTCACGCAATTTCCGGATGAATGGTGATTCTTTCTTCCCTCTTATTTCCTTAACACCTCCCCTTTTCATCCTATCTTCCTTATCTATGACTCCTTTATCAGTTACAACTCTTTCCACTACCAAATATTCCTTCTTCTCTCCTTTCGTCTCTTTTGTAAAGCTCACTCCTTCCAAGTCAGCGTCATAATACTCTGACAAGGCCAGCTCTCTAAATACAATTCTCTTTTTTGTAACCGGATCCGCACGAGACGCAAATAACGAGTTCTTTGATTGACAATAATGTGCTGGCGGGATATTTTCTTGATCATCAGCTGTGGATGAAATGTCTGAGAAATCGTCGAGCAGCTCTGGTAACTCGGATGGAGTTGAGCTCGCGGCTATAGGTGATACATTGTTGTAAATAAGTGAGGGCCGACGGGGTGCAGGAGGAGTAGGAGATGCGGAATCAGGCAGCGGATTAGAAGGAGGAGGAGTTGTCATGTTGGCCCTGTCAGTGGTGGCTGAAATAATAGAGTTAGATTCTGTATCTGAGAGATCGCGCTGCCAGAACTGTTCCGCTTGAGGGTAAAAACTGTTAGTGGTCGTGGAAGGCGGTGGTGACGAGGGGTTGTCTATTGATTTTATGTAATGCTTGAGTGGATTGCGTATCGAATTTCTCAAAGCTTTTGGGCTTGGAGATCGCAGAAACATCTATCATAATCGGAAATGAAAAACGAGCATTGCGTGAAAGAGTGTGATTAGTATGCATGTATTGACAAGTTTCAGGTAAGCAAGACGTTCCGGATCCACACATGCTGCACGAACACATAACTGAAACACCCGTGAATGCAACTCATACCTCTTGGAAATTCAAGCTTAGACCTGGCGTGGCAGGCTCTGGCTTGTGTCGCGAATCGTATCTTCGTATAGGACTTTGTAAGAATCGTTCCATTGCTCTTTCGCTTCCCTGTTTATAAAAATACTAGAACTTTATTTTCTCTTGCTGCTATCTGTATCTTGCGGTTTCTACCAATAGACAAATTCAAACTGTTTCAACCCGAGCAAATCGATTTTTCGAGGTAAAAAATACTTGGTACGGAGACGCGTCGTGATGCAAGATAAATATGGTAATCACGTCGTGCGTCGGTGATTTGGGAGATAAATAAAGTATATCGATATTTGGGCGCAGACGCGAATGTCGAGGTTAGAAAGCAGTGATGAAAATTTGCGAAAATGACAACATCGACGCGTATACGGTTGTCCCATTGTTGCATACCTACCAATTGACCAATAAAGTTCTGTGGCTCAGCAATCACGCACGCCAGAACATCGACATTATAACTTAAAAGAAATCGCGGTAGAAAAATCATAGAAATTATATTAAAAAGGCAGGCTATTCGAACTACCACCAGTAAAAAATGACAGGTCATGTGTCTGCTATTGTGACACAACTGTATTCTGACCAACGAAAACTTTGCAATAATTGGGTTTACATGCAAATTTTGCATTTCCCTATATAGACAAAGTTTACCGTTAACGTTAGTACATTCCTTTCCGTTTCCAAATTGGGACGTTGATCCTAATTCGGAAATTGTGTTTGTAAACTTTGTCTATATAGGGAAATACCAAAATTTGCATGTAAACCCAGTTATTCGGACACATGACCTGCCATTTTTTGGTGGGTAGTTCTGTAAACAAAGTACCAAGTTGACTATACAAATGCACATAAATGAAGGTGAGGCTTGTTTTGATCTCAGCAAAGACATGGTATAATTATGTATTTATTCCAGAAAATGTGCACCAGATAACAGTTGTAGCTATAACTACACAAGACCTACAACAGGAAACGATAGATTCGACTTACTGTATGTTGATTTCACGCTCTCGCGGTCGTGTTGTTTTTTCACATTTACTCTTTTGTCTTTCCCCTTACTTAGTCCTCACGTTGTTTTTTCTTTAATACTACATAGATACGAAGGTATATACGGCAAAGTGTGGGCAAATGAGGAAACGAGGGACCGACGAAATGGTGCGTTTGAGGCTCTGTATGTATGATGGCCCGATTGTCTTAGAGAACAGAGACAAGGCTAAGGATGGGGAGGTCATAGCGAGGGTATTAAAGCTGATTAGAAGGCATGGAGCAAATACTGATTGAGAACGTTTTATTTCTGGATTATTGAACTATAGACACGAGCGGCTATGCACAGTAAAAGATGATCATAGGGATACATTTATACGGCCGGTGAGATTTGATAAGTTGTAAGTTTTTGACAGTTTTCCAAGTCAAGCCCGAATGATTCAGGAATCGCGATCATAGTTAAGAAGAGAGTTGCTGAATTAAGGGCGCGTTCTTGTGTTACAATGTTCACCTGTCTCATGTTTTTCCCTCTTTCCATCTTTCGATCAAGGTATAAATATTGCACAAAAACGTACTCTAAACCCACGCAAGATCTCTCCGATTCTGATATCGAACACTAATAGTAATATTAATATTCATGATACATTTCTCTCGGTAATAATTAATGTAATATGTAGAGTAGACAGAATATGCACTTTCCGTCTACCATCAAAGGTCAGTTGGGTTTTTGATAAATTGGACATTGATGCCATGCTCACAGACCGATGATGATAACAACCCATTAAATATCTTATTTTGAAATAAATGATGATTTCCTTATAATTTCCAGATTTTCAACAAGGCGTTAAGAAATATCCTATAGAACAACATCGTCAGAAATTTATCTAATGAAAACAGAATAAGGAGGAATTTATTTAAACCTTGTGAGAACCTTGATATCATTGCTTTTAAGAATTCTAAATAATTCATGTATATGTAGTAACCTTGTTCTACTTTCTGATTATAGGATTGTTTATCTTGGGCGAAGTGGGCAAAGTACTTTCCTGCAGAAAGGTATTAAAAGCAATTCGGGTTTTATTTCGGTTTTGCAGGGATCATTCCGTCTTTAAGCAAGGATTTCTTATCGCTTTGCTCTAATTTCGTAAGTCTCGCATAGAATTTTTTACCTGTCTTACTATTACGTCTGCATTAGACTCGCTCGTCCGAGGAGATTGTTGTCTCTAAGTTTTTAGTTTCGCCTTGGCTGTGCCAACTCTGCTGATTCTGCATGATGTAAATTAAAAATGACACTTAAATTTGTCATTGATTACTTTTAAAAGTGATTCACCGTATATATGAAATTCTTGCTCAGGCGTCAGTTAATACCCTATTGTAATTGATGCAAATTACCCCACATGATTTATAGAGAACTACTTAAGTAGTTGTCCAAGGCCAAAGTTTTCTATCAAGTCGGCATGACATCCTCTTCCTTCGTTTGTAAGTTATCCCCTGTAATAAGTATTAGATATTAAACGTGTTAGTATTAGACGTTTGCTCAAGTATTTATTTCACAATTCTCAAACACATCTCACTTTGTAATTGCAAACTGACGAATTTTTATATAAGCCCGACCTTCTGTTACACATCCTCTTCTACCTCAGAATCCAGTGATTATTTTTCATCGAGATTTTAACCCGACTACCTCACTAAATCATATATTATTTATAAACTTTCGAAATTGCCGGTAATTAATGGGAGGTTCGGTCCGATGTGATCAAAAATACTTTTACGTGCTTTCTAATTTTACTATTTTCAGCTCTCCTGCTTGTTTTCCCAATTAGTTGATAACACAATTGTTCTGATATAATGAAACATTTGCGTAAATGCGTAAAAACTTTTTCAGCAAACTACGCTAATAAAAATCGCGCCAGGATCCTCCCAAAGTAAATTTAAACAGCCGAGTTATTATTTCGCCCCGCGAAATTTTTGAAGCCGGCAGTCCTACAAAAATAGCTATGATTGGCTAATATACATGTTTATTCTTGTATTATTTAATATGTTGTATGCGACCCGAAGTTGTTATATTCTGAAAGGCGTTTCCCTTGTTGTAAATGTGGTGTGCCTACTGGTGTTGCTTCTGGTCGATGTTCATTACATAACTAATTTACTTCGAAAGTTGTTTCTTGATCACCATTGGTCACCGCAGAGGCGATCAATTTGTTGGAAAGAGCAGCTTAAATATAAACACCGAAATAAAAAAAGCCATCCGAGAAATGATCAGTCTGGACGAGAAGTGAAATAGCCATCTGCATCGAATAAACCGTTAGTTTTTATTTATTAAAAAAAGTAATAATATTTTTCATTGAAGGGTATCACAGGTTGCCTCGCAAACAGAATGACTTGGCTGCGCAAGTGGCCATGCTTTGTAGGCAAAATCTCAGCAGCTAATCGCGAGTTAGACTTGTTTATTAAATTTATAGTACAGGTCACAAAATTATGTCAACATCGTTAATACGTACTCAAAACTAGAGTATCGAAGGAAATAGCACACGATAAATTCTGACAATTAACTCGGACAGATGGTAATAAAATTCGCAAGTGAGTGATACCAACGCAAATTCAGCGGCAGAATCTCCTCGCTCTGCGAGGTCAACCGAATATCGGTTATACGAAAATAGACATGCGGAATAAAGGAGTTATCTACGAACAACTATCTCTATTAACGAGCTTGATCAATTTAGTTGGCTCGCTGGTATTACTATAGCATTAAAAGAATTAATGACGACACAAATGTAAACTGTCCCAGGACCCCATCATCGGCTTTGAATTTTTGAACGAAAAAAAACACACTCTTTTTGATAACTACATCAAGAACATACACAGAGAATTTACAAAAAAAAGAGATTAATTTATTGCTTTTGGTAAAACGAATTAAAATGTATTTTATAATAGTAGCATACCAATGAAATTATAAATAATTGTTGACACTAATACAAGTGAATCAGAGTACAATACACTACAGCTATTATGCAACATATCACAATTAAAATACAAGTTTTCTCTAAGAGTCATTGAAAATATGTTTCTGCTCCTGAAAACTTTGAGTACAGTTGTCTGGTTGTATAAATGCTGACATTTTTATATTCTAAATTCATGTTGCTTTATTGATAAGTAAGTTTCTATAAAGTTGTTCTATGATAAAATAAGATTGAATGAAAGTTATTGTTATGTAGGATACAATTTGTTGGTAATCAAATAAACACATTTACTTTCAACAGTTAAATTATTTCTAGTTCACTAACCCATGTAGAACGTCCACATCGTGAATGTTGATAGTTATCAATGAACCGATGTATGATATTCGTACAAAAAATTCCAATTTGTGTAATCGTCTCATGTTACCCATCGCGCAACGTGGAGAACTAACAGCTTCCTTTAAGTCCCCAATAAACAAAATACAATTATTCATAGAAAAGTACCCCCTCGAGTATATAACTAACTATCTGTTAATTCTTCACGTTGAACGTGAATAAAGTATAAATATAAATCATATATCTTTCCCCGATAAATAAATAGATTGTGTTGTTCTGACATTAATTGTTGAAGTTTGCAGTTTCTTGCTCCGTCACGCACATTCTCGTTTAATACCGACCGTTATCGCCTATGGTGAGATATTACCGCGTGATAACGACAGTAATTTATAATATAAAAACTACGTATTTAACTTTCAGATATTCCAAAATTTGAATTTATTAATAAAATTTTATACTTTAAAATTGTCTTCAACTTGTAAATTTGTTTTTGTATGTATTTAATAGATTTATGTTGCTCGCTCTGATGCCATATTGTCCATTAGGGGAGGTTTTCAAAAATTATGGTGATGCATTTGCAATATATAATGAAGAAAGCAGTTGTGCGATAAGACATGTCATTAATAGTTGTCGACTCAAACTTTGAGCCAAAACGTCCGCAACAACTTCGACTCCTCCATTGGCAAAACTCTCAGCGTAGGATATGTATGCGACAATGCTCCCTCCACAATAGGGATCCAATTTCCAAAGTACCAGTTCCTTTTTTTTTTTTCGCTGTGGTATATGTGGTACAAGGATTGGGATTGGCTCGAAACGGAGACTGGGAACATTCTTGGCAAAAAAAAAACTCTTTGGGAAAAGTGTGCTATGATTGATATGCCAGAACAGAGTGAATATTGGGAAAAGTTGACATTGCTCGATTGACTCCCTATCCCATTATTTAACAACGGGATGTGAGAATATTGCACATAATCTGTATTTCCTGTCCTGCAACAATATTAACTATTGTCATCCGGGAATCCGAAACTTGTATGAATATCTCAACCAGATATAGTATGTATACAAACGACAAACACAGTCTTCATTCTCGGTGGCGGGGAATTGCAAAAATATGCGAATCAGCCGACAGGCCCGAAACCCCAGTCACACAGTAAGATTTTCCTTTTTAATTCTTATGCATACAGTTCTAACCGTTGTATATGTATTCGTGCTACCTGACAGGATTTCATGAAGCAGAAACATTTGTAAGAGTTTGATTATGCAGCCACAGTGTTATGTAATCATGTCTCATACAGCAATAATAACAAAGCCAGCTGGTGAATGCGAATTCTATTGGAGAGTAAATTTGATTCGATTGGTGGCACGAGAATATTAATATTGAATCTCTTGAATCATATGGGTCATGCTGCAACAAAACCAGACATTGTAAACACTTGCTTATATGAGCTGATGGGGCTGAAAAATTGGTTTAAAGTGACCAACTATTTTTAGCTTTAATTTAGTATTTAGTAGCACGATTATGGCATATATGGAAAATTTTAGATCTGCATTAATTTGGAAATGTATACTTGGTTGAGATAAATGTTTTACTTGACATTATTATTATGACATAATATAGGATTAGGGGGCCTATATAAAATATATTAATATGAAAGTAATTTACATTAAATCTACCATGGAACTGAAGAATTACAAAAATAAAAGGCAAAAATATCTGGATGAAAAAATTTAATACAAACTTAAAACTTACTATTACCATCTATTCAACTTGGTAAGATAAAGATTTCTAAGCAATATTAATGGTTCCAACTCACTATGATTCAAAACACTCATTTTTTAAATACTTATTTTGCTTCTGTTTTTGTAAAACTTTTTATAAATCATAGTCTAAACAAAAAAAATTATGACTAAAAAGGATATTTTAATTGTAAAAATACAAAGGAAATAATTTTTTCTAGCACTGAAGAAAGAACTAATACTAACAAATTTATTGTTCAGATTGTGCCCAAAATGTGATTCAACAAAAAGCACAAGTTGAGAAAGAAATAGAAAGAAGGTCTTTAGAGAAGCCCTAAAATAAAGGGGGAGGGGATTGACCATGAAGAGTAAAACAGTTAAATGAGCATGGTCAATGAAAATGAGACGGGATTGTCCCCAATGTAAAATCTATCTTCACTGAGTATTAATAACCAAATCAGACATTCTTTATTATTATCAGATGAAAATCTTCATGTGACTACAGTGCAAGCAATCTTTCCTATTCCAGGCTTGACAGGAGAGGACTGTAGATCACTGACAACAAATCAGCTAAGATGAGGTGGCAGTGTCTGAGTAGCAGCCTAAGGTCAGCCATGCTTGAGTAATAGTCTGAGCTTTGCCAATAAATCAACTGTGATCAACATTGTCTTCTGTTAGTTAAGAAAACATAATAATAAACAATGTCAATATTGTTATAAGTGTCATGGATAAGCTCTAACATATACGTATTTCCGCTCAGTTACACGATCTGCGGTCAACGATCGACAAGTCCTGCGGCATAGATTTCTCCAACATAATAAGAGTCCAATCACGTACGATGCTACAGATTTGACCCATATCGGGCCATCTTGTACGAAGCTACAAAAATCGACCATATCGGGCTAACAGACGTTGGTAAAATTAGAACATTTGTAATTAGTGATACTTTCCCAAATTTATCAGCAAAATGTTAGACAAGAACAGTTATTTAAGCGCGCCGTTTTCCTTCATCATTCAGCATCGTTCATCAGATCATTAGATCTTCAGCTAAGATTGTCCACGGATACTCTTATTACTTTTAATTCCTTGTAATACGAATAAACAAACGGTCCTATAGAATAGTTCTTATATTCTAATAAAACTCTGACTATGACTGGTTGATTTATAATCTCTCTTTGGTCAGTTAAAATTCTGTGGTTCTATTGAATTCATCGATTCTGAGAGTAGCGAAAACCGCTATCCGGACTCTCAGCTGCGACTTAGTCTTGCCCCTGAGTTCGCATGTTATATCGGTTTGCAGGATATTTATTTAATTGTCTATAAACGCGTTAGTTTAGAAAACCTTTCCCAAACGATAGATTTCCGAAACTAATCCCATCGGATCATAATCGTCGATAATTTACTCGAGGTTAAATAGATATCAACGGATTACGTATACGATACGATTCATTCGAAAGCCTGTTAAAAGGTCACTAACTGTTTAGAAGAATTAGCATTAGTAGGCGTTGCCGATAACAGCCGTTGGTAAATCTCAAGGAGGTTACACGATCGCTTTCCCACGTGTAACGTCACGACAAAGGTCGAAATGCAAATAATCAAATTCTGAATGGTATGATGGCAGCTGAATGAATTTCAAGTACTAATACTAAGAATTGCCCACAAGTTGACGTTATTACAAAAATAAACCAAAAGCGGGGGAAAAAAAGAAAGCAATGCAGAATATAGAATATTCATTTCCTCTTTGATTAATTTATAATTCCAATTATTCTTGTAACTGAATATGAAGCACAATATAAATAGGGTGGGGGTACTGGCACTGAGAAAGGGAATAGAAATTAGAAAGTATTATTATTTTTATTATCTGCACTGTACTAATAATTAATTACCACCTCTATTTTTGGAACCAGTAACTTTTTTTTGCTATGATTAATTGCTATTTAACTCAACAGAAACATTTCATTTTATATATTATAATTTCCTTTTTTTGTAAGTACAAAATTATGACCTGTTCCTCCACAGTTTCTACACTTCAACTGCTTACCATGCCGAAAAATCAAATGTTTTAGTATTAGACTGAGCATAAACATAATTACTTATGACTGACTATTACTATGACATTATTATAGGAGTAATGATTTTGGGGCATTGCAAGCAGTTTTGGTGCTTCATCTCTCTTTCTACTATAGTAATAGTTGTGCAACATTCTGCATATTAACATGACAATGCAATATAAGTTATTTATTGATATATGTTCTACAATAACAAACGTGCTGCCAGCATATGCAACAACAATTGCCTAAATTGAACCTTGAGATAATATTATACAAACAACTTTGGGATTTTACTATTACCGTATGATATGTTTAAAATATATCATTATAAGAAAACGTGTCATAAACATTGTGACAGCATATTGATTATTACACAGAAAAAATCAGTAAGACGACGTTTTCTCTGGAACGAAATTTGTCAATAATATCTGACACAAAACTCACAAATCGATATTACGGACACGTTGATAAAACGCTGGTCCTGACCAGTCCGATATATGGGTATTTTGCTAGTGTAGTAACGTGCATTCATACTAGATTCATATTTATTGGTTCATTATCATCTATACTCGTATTACTCATTACAAAATAGAAATTGATTGGCTGAATTTTATAAAAGCCGATTAAAAGATATCCATAAGCCCATAACGACAATTTTCTGCCATTGGATTAAGATCATCAATGCACAAGAAATATGCAAACACATGTTTACAATTGAAAATATTTTTACAGCTTTGCGAATCGTTATAAGCAAATGACACCGTTTAATGGAATGACCCAAATAACTGTATTGCACAATATATCGTCCCAATATCGTATCTTTACTGACCCAGGTTTTCCAGAAACATTAACAACACGACAAAAGTAACTGGGAAAAGCGTGTTGAGAAATGCGTCGTATAAATCTTGGTAAGACGTATAAGAGTCATCGACAGTAGATGCTGTTGCAAATGGGATGAGTAAGAAAAACACAACGCAACGGAAAAGAGATTTCGAAACTCTCGCTAATGTCTGTTTAGCATAGCAGTGTTTGGTTTCCATTCCACAGGCCGAGAGGTTTAACGTAAAGCAACAAATTGATAATTGGGGAGAGATAGTCGTAAGTTGCCAATTACTGAGATTGAAGGTTTATGCTCTTGTTGATCTGCACCATCAAATGTTCTGAACATACCTAATTACATTGCTTCGTATAATTCCTGGTGAAAGTAATTGATGAGGCCTACGTTCGAATTCAGCCAATTCACTAAGAATAAAATGCTTGGATTTTTGCAAGAACGTGTGTGTACAAAAAGTGGATTGCAACGTCATCGTGAACGCATTCATGGTCCAACAACGATCTGCGAAACGCATATATACTCGAACGTTTGCATGTTAATGCACGAGTTGGCAAAATCACAAGTCACCAGTCTCAACTAGTGAGATACAATGTCGAAAAACTAAAAAGTAACTGGCACATTTGAACCATCAGTTAAAACATGTACGCAGACAAAAAAGTTTTACTAGCCATCAACTTCTTCAATTTCGAGATCTTCGCTGTCACGAGTTTAAATTTCCATATTCTTTGGCCCTATCAAGTGATCTTTTCCAAAACCCAAGAGCCTGTGTATCAGATCACGCCCTTGCATTCTTCGCCCTGAACGCTCTGAGAATTTTTCATTTTACTGCATTATATTCAGCAACCACGGGTCGCCTCACCAATTTCAAGGACCGAAGCAAGTCTGGACGTTGTGTCTAATACTGTCAAGTGTTTAAAAAGTATTGGTAAACGCGAGTAATCATTCGTTTTTCGTTACTGGTTAAAGAACTTCGCTCTCTATCTAGGTCTTCCATGAGAAAGATAAATGATCAAGTTTTGTTACGAATATTTGAAGTTCGACATTTTCCATTGAGGAATTTCAGGTGATTTTCGACTGCTATAGTCACGGGTCTACTTGTACCACGCTGCATATAAGAGTTGCGCGATGTTCCGGTTGCGATTGCCAATTGTTGTAACGCGTCGCGATCCTAAGTTAAGTATTTGTCAACTGTTATTGAAGGTATCCTACGCCCATATGGTTCCGCCCTTTGGCCGATGCTTGGATTAGAGTGCTGTGGGTAAATCGCTATGACTTGTTACGTGTTGTAATAGCTCTTAGTGCCTCAGCCTGGGCCTCTATTCCAGTATACCGACAGTATATTATCCTACGCCCATATGGTTCCGCCCTTTGGCCGATGCTTGGATTAGGGTGCTGTGGGTAAATCGCTATGACTTGTTACGTGTTGTAATAGCTCTTAGTGCCTCAGCCTGGGCCTCTATTCCAGAATATATATTGTCATAAACGTTTGTTATTGTAGTTGTCCAACAGATTATCTTATTAAAGTATGTTGTTTAATATCACTAACAATAGCCTTCTTTTTAGATATGGAATTTGATTCTTATACAGATACATATGTGTACAATTCCAATCCTAAGGACTTGAGTGTTCTAGACTGTCTCAAGTATCTGAAAGATAAATTAGTATTCACATCAGATAGCAAACACGATATCCAGGATGCGCTTACAAGAACGATCGAAAGGGTTATTGATTCGCCTATTGTACAGATTGGGATAAAGAAACGGTTAAGGAAAATATCCGATAATATCAGTGGTACTTTTCGAAGAAACGAAATTGATGAGTTTTTTGCGGAATTGGACAAGGAATTTGAGGCAGTAAGTAATTGCAGTTTTGCATGATACGGCGTTGTATATATTTATATTAATTTATCGTTTTAGAGACAAAATCAACGTAATCTTGAAAGGTCTTTTGATAAAAATAGCTCCGAACTACTACAAAAGTCTGGTGATTTAAATACATTAAAACTTAAATCGCGTTATATAGAAACGTCTGCTGGATTTTTTGAAAGGGTAATAGTAAGATCAAAGTTTTTTATTCTGTTCGTTCCAAGTTTGATCGCTAACTTGTAAATCTATATTTCTTTGCTATATCACCTAGGGAGAATCAACGTCTGATCAAGGCACTTGTGCTTTAGGGAAAAGACGAGATGTTAATTTTAATGAGGAACGAACGATAAAGAAGCAATATCAAGTTAGAGATACTACGCTTCCTCCACTTGATAAAAACGAACAAGATGCAGATTTTGCTGTTGAACGAGATACGGATAATATGTATTACCAGGAGCTGTCATTAGTTGAGGTCCGAAATCTCTATCTTTTACATATTTCACTGTTTATGTTGTCTGTTATTTAATAAACTTCTATTCCATAATAGACTTCATTAAACTCGGCTATCGAAAGGCTTATTAATAGTGAAGACGCGATTGCAAGATATCGGATTTTATTTTATTTTTTTCTAAACTACTGTAATTCTTGATTGCTAATTATTAATTAATATACGGTATTTCTTTTTTAGGGGTAAAATTTGGAGATCTCCGAAATATAAATTATTCACAAAAAACAAGAAACCACAGGTAAACGAGGGGTCTTATGTATGTGAAGTAATTGCTCCGCTGATAAATATTGTGATGAATGATTTACCGGGAGATCCGTCAACATGGGCTATATGGTACGTTTATTACACATTGGATAATCACTTTATTTCGAATTTAATTAATATGAAGTAAACTAAGGGGTGAACAAGGAAGTTTAGCTAGTGCGACTAGGAAAGGCTCACGAAAAATTGCACGAAGACCGGACTACATGTTGCTAACTCATTTAGGAAAAAAAGCAGAACTTGAAATATTTTACTTAGAAACTGGTCGGCAGATTCAACTTTAATTAAGCGGGCAAAAGATCATAAAAAGTTGGCTCGATTTTCCAAAGACTCTGTTGATACTACAAGGAGTGTTTCCAGTCTTCAAAGAATATTCAACAAATCAATTATGAGACAACAACTGGCAATCTTTACGATTAATGTTGCGGGTAATAATTATGATTAATCACATAAGACTCGTATATTGTCAATTAATAAGGACTAAATTTTTGTAGGAGACGTGCTGGAACTCTACGTTATGCGTAAGGAAACGGAGTATTGTATACTAGATCAAGCTTCGATTCCTTTGCATATGGCAACTCCTAACGATGTCTACAGACTTATTCATACGTTGCTAACTTTAAGGGTTAGTTTTTTTTTCTTTTCGCTCTCATAAAATTTCGAGAGTAAAAATAAATATTATGATTTTTTTTAGACTGCAGTTGCATGCACGTTATATAAGATCCTTCATAAGTCTGAAGAAGGAGATAGCGATTTTAGTGCTGAAGAAAGTCCAATTACTGTAAAGACGCCTAAAGGTGAATATTATTAATAATTAATAAAATATATCAATGTACTTTATATATCAATAAAGCAAGCCCTGGTGGCTCGATTTCACATATACACAGTGAAAGTCGAGCCTGGCGAACGCCTATATGCTTGTAGTGCATAGATTTAACACCCAAAATAGATCATGTAACATCCCGGACATAGAACGACGCATTATTGCATAGCAATGGGACTTTGTCCCTATCAATCTTGATTGGTTGATTGTTGTATATATGCAACTTATGACGATTACTTCGATTCTCCGATGTAGGGCGAAGCCCATTGCTTTGCAATAAATATATCATGCCTCGAAGAGGCGCCCAAGGGCCTGATTATCTGGATTAACGCATATATTGTAAACATATCAATCGTAATTATTTTTTTCTTGGCAAAAGTGATCGGCGTTCCGAAAAAGAACGCGCATATTAACTTTAGCAGAGCTAGTTTCACTAATAAATGCTACACAGTGAAGTCGGCCAACTGGGTTTGACCTCTAATGGCCGACTTATCTAGAATCACATGATTAAGTCTTTTAATTAATCCTTTTTATTTTAATAATAATAATATTCTTATTAATCACATCGTAATTGTAAAATA